TGGTACTGGGTTACGTGATACCAGTAGCAAGATTGATCTCGATTATCCTGACCTGACCTGGAGTAGTTAAAAGGAGTTACTTCCCGCAACAGCACTTTGAGAAAACCAGGCATGACATTTTGGAAGTGCATTAGGAAAAACACTGCATCTAACAAAATACAGGAGTCTAAGGTGAGTGTACGTTTTGTAGTTGGAGTAAGTAGTTAGTTACTGAGCTCACGCTGCATTAGAGTATAAACAGAACACAAACAAACATAAATCAACTTACGGGTGAGTCAACACCGCGCCAGAGGTTCAGACAGAACACAAACATACATAAAAAACATAAAGTAACTTACGGGTGAGCGAACACCGCGCCAGAGGTTCAGACAGAACACAAACATACATAAAAAAACATAAAAAACATAAACATAAACATAAAGTAACTTACGGGTGAGCGAACACCGCGCCAGAGGTTCAGACAGAACACAGACATACATAAAGAACATAAAGTAACTTACGGGTGAGCGAACACCGCAACAGAGGTTCAGACAGAACACAAACATATATATAACGTAGATTACAGGTGAGCTAATACAGTAACTAAGGCACCTCCAACTATATTGGGAGCAAAAAAAAAAAAATAAAAAAAATAAAAAAATAACTATAGGCATGACTGATATAAGATAGTGCTGATGACAGGAAGAACACTCCTTCCAGCCTTTGCTTAGATAGCAAATCCTGCAAGGCAGCAGAACATGGAACAGGTTGCACTGGGTTACATGTTACCAGTAGCAAGATGATCATGAAGACCATACTCCTGACCTGACAAAATGATATATAATATAATGACCTGACATTTATGATATATAATATAATGATCCCCTTTAGCTGAAATACCCAGTTTTTTTTTAGTTTCTCACACAAATCAACTTTTTATGCAACAAAGTTTTATGGCAATCATTAGTTGTGAAGCACAAAACTAAAAAAAAAAACATTTAAAAGTTTTAATTTATAGTTATTGCATTTTCTTTTATTAAATACAGATGTATTTGATAAAAGTAGATGTAATGGAATACTTTCACTGGTGTCAAATAAGGAGAAGAAATTTTTTTTGCACTTACACTTGGAAATTATTTCACCCTTTTTGTTTAGTTGGTTGTCTTATTCGTAAAATAATAATAATAAATTATTTGTAAAATAATAAGTATAAATTTTGAATTGTAATTTAATCTAATTTTTTTAAATATTGAGAAATCTTCTATAATTTATTTTAGTATTTTTAATTCTCAATCAAACAACAACAACAATTTATATTATTCTCAATCAAATAACAATATATATATATATATATATATATATATACATTCTAATCATTTTTTACACAGGTAAAGTCATGGATATAGTTTAAAACCCTCGTTATAGAAAAGTGTTACACATTTTTAAGAACAGTGTTAAAAATATTAAAAATTTAAAACCAAAAACATACATCAATTTATCACAATAACATTTTTACTGTAAGTATAACAAAAGTTATTATTTACTAGACGAGTACAATATAGTAATGCAAAATAGCTAAAACATGATAATTTACAATAAAAATTCATTTTGTTATATTAGTCATTCTTGTTAGTCATAGTTAACTGTGTTGAGTTTAATTTTATCCTTTACTGTTGGCCTTTGATCAAAAAGATGAATTTTATATCACAAAAATTTACTTAATTAAAACCGTATTTCAACAGTAGGCAAACTAAACTGAAATGATGAGGATTGAAGACCTAGATTGAACTAAAAAATTTTTGATTAAAAAAATCATTATGTTAAAAAATAAATTAAATTACATTTTATATAAAACAGAATTTGTTCTTTGTATATCATAGAATTTTATATAAAACAGAATTTGTTCTTTGTATATCATAGAATTATATACACAGAAAATCAGTATGATAAAAAGTCAATTAAAATAAATTTTATATAAAACAAATTGTGTTCTGTGTAGTAGCGTATCGACAAAAAATAGGCCTCCCCGCAAAATTTTAATCCGAGTCCCTAAATTACTTCTCTGCTCCCCCCCTCCCTTCCCTTTTCTTGACAAAAATTTCACATAAAAACAAAAACCTTTCTTTTAAATACAATTTTAATTTAATAGAAATGAGAATGTTACGCAAGTCTAGTAAGTAAAAAATCTGATGAAAGTTTTTTTCTTGTCTTTATAGCTACAAAAATTGGTATAGCTGCAAAAAACCTCTTAAATTTAATTGAGCTGCTATTTCTACTTTTTATTTTTAAATGAGCAACTTATATCATAATATGTTATTGTGGACATGGGTAAAATGCAAAAATGCGGAAATTTTCAATGTGTAAAATGCCCCAACCAAAACACTTAGTCAATGATGGTAGATCCAATCTTTATAGTCATTCCTAGTATAACAGATGTCTCAAGCTGGAAGTCTATTTTGTTGCTTTACGTTAAATAGATTCAACCAAGGTTTTATCAGTTTTTAAATAAGAAGCTCAAATACACTGTATATTTATGGTGTGGTCTAATAAACACTTTATATAACTTGAGAACCATATTTTCATCAATGAAAGTGAATGTCTTTTTGCATACCCAGAATTTGTAAGGACTTTGAGAAAACTGTTCGAAAATGTGTGCTCCACTTGGCTTTCCATGAAATAATGACTCCTTAATTACATACTGTAGTCGAGCTTTTTAGGGATTGATTTATTATACCTTTTTATTTTGTTTCCCATTTATTATGAAATATCTTTATTTTAACATAAGTTTTGAGGTAAAGAATTGGCACTTTGGCGAAATCGAGATTACATCAATAATTTGGGGAAATAGAAGATGAAAAAATATAAAGTCTCTGTTAGATTAGTCTCACATAATTTATGTTGAAGAAAGCCATGTTGATTTGTAGAGAGCATTTTATTATCGTTAATGATTTTGTTTTTAACAAGTATTTTGACTATTTTGTAATTTATTTTCTATTTTTTTAAATACCCAATTAAAGTTTGCTAAATTTTAGAGAGTGAGTAGTTTTCCAGAATTAAAGAACTTATGAAAGTTTTTGTAAATGGAAAAAATAGTTAAAAAATAGTTAAATAGAAATAATTGAAATAGAAAAGCGGTAGTGGTGTAGTGGAAGGCTCGCCTCATAAGCGAGAAGTTCCAAGTTTGATCCTCACCACGTCCCTGGTAGTACCGCGCTCAACTTATTTCTCTGCTCAGCGGCCTTGTTAGTCAAAATTCATTTTTCTGATTTATAGAGTTGAGAGAGGGGTTGTAAACGCAAAAGTAGCCTCCTCGACTGTAGTGGCCCTCTCGGCCTTAGGGAGGTGAATAATTTAAAAAAAAAAAACTTCATTCAGGTTAGTATCACTTTTTTAACAAAGGAAATTATTCAATATTATTTCTTTTTTATGTGCTCTTTTTGTTTTAAATATTTCAGCTTTTACGGAATGATTAGGAAGATAGGAGTTTATTTTAAGTTTATTATTCTTTCATTTAGTTGAGCAGTTGATATACGTTATAATATGATATAGTTGATAAGTGGATTTTTTGCTTGGAATAGGTTTTTAATATGTGAAGTAATTCAGGGATCATCGTTTTTCTTTGTTATTAACTTTTGGCATAAAATGTTCACAAATAGTACTGTTATTAGAAATTAATAAATTAAACATTTGATCCGCAGTTTTATGCAGAAATAAAGTATTATAAATGATTGATGCAATAAAATTTGATATTAAATCGTAATCACCTTTGCTGTAACTTAACAACTAAGATTCACTTTCAAACGGTTTTGAAACTAAAATTCTTAGTATTAATATCTGATATAGAATTAGGAAATGATTTTTAAAATAGAATTACTGCTGTAGGTAAATAATAAGTTTAGCATATGTTTTGAGCAACCATAAGGTGTCTGGAGAAAATGTGATATATTAAAATTACCAACAATGAAGCAGTCATAATAGAGCTTCCTAATTAAGCTATGAGCTAGTTTGAAAGATTCAACGATATTATATTAAATAGGTATCATTTGGTCTATGTATAACCTGGAAAAGTATGTTTTTATTGTTAACTCTTACAGATACTAAAACCTGTTTGAGAAAAGTTTTATAAAACTAAATAAGTTAATGAGAGATAAATACATCAGTAATGAAGAAAGCTACACAGCCACCTGGGCGTCTGTCTTAGCAACCAATTTTTCGAAGTGAGTTATTGTTTTAATACAATAGCTTGACTATTGTATTTTGCTTTAAAAGCTTAAGACACTTAACTAAATTGCACATTTATGAGTTTAAAACAGTTTGTTTTAATTTTTTAGATAAAAATGAATAAAAAGCTCACTATTTGAAGTGTTAATCAAGATTATTATTAAAGCTAAAAAAAATAGTCTGAAAAAGAGTTTGTAGTTCTTATATAATAATTAGCTATATAATAATTGTAAAAATTGCTATGTTGTTATGTTTATATACATGCATATTATATTTAAGAATGATAATTTTTTAAAAAAATATTTAAAAAATTTAGAATTAGCCCCTAATAACTCTGGGTCCTCCAGAGTTATTAGGGGCTAATTCTAAACTCTGCGCTACTGGTTCTGTGTATATCATAAAATTATATAAACAGAAAATTTCCTGGGCAATGCAGTACTGAACATACAAAAAAAATTTTTGTTACTTTTTTACAGCACTAATCAGATGAAATGATTTTATATGCAGAGGTATTTATCAGTTATTTGAAAAATTGAATATACCTGTTTAGACTACAATTCATAGTACTGTAGTTCTTCTCTGTAATATTTTTTTAAAAGTTAACCATAAGTTTTGTTTGTCAATGGGTTGTCAATATATAGCAGGAAAGTTTGCAGTATTAATATTTAAAAGTTACTTATATTTATGTTTATTATGACAACGTTATACTATTTATTTTAAAGATAATATATCTTTTTGAAGAAATAAAAAATAAATAATAATTTTAAATTATTTTTGAATTTATAAACTTATTTTTAAAGGAATAAATATCTACTAACCTGGTCTGCTGATGGAATTTTTTTGTTTGAACCTCACAAGAGAAAAGTTTTTGCATGGAATGATCAAATAAAAGGTAATAATATATTCGTTTAAAGTACCTAACTGAATGGATTTTTTTCAAATGTTGCGCATTTCTTAGAAAACAAGATCAAAATAAGAATTTAACAGATTAAAACTTCTGGAAATTTATTTTGCACATTAAACTGATCCTTTTTCATAGCAGGTAAGGCTCTTACTTATTGTTGATTAGGGTATATTGTTGGTAAGGGTAGAAAGACCTTGTAAATCTTGGGTGGTAGTTCAAGGATTTTGAGCATTAGTAACAAGTTCCTACTGGTAGTATCACAATAATAATACTTCTGCAGAACACACTCCACAGACACTCACCAACAGAATACATCACCTCCAAAAAACCTCCAAAAAGGTGTCAAATCTTCTGTAATTTCATATTTAAATGAAAAAATAGCATCATAGAAACCCAACAATCATAAAAGTAAATTTGAGCAATTCACACCAAGATAAAATATATGAAAGGTTTAAACTAAAATATATTTGTGTTAAATACCTTATTTTGTATCTATGCCTAGAGTAGTACATCATAAAACTAATTTTTTCTTATGTTAATGTGTCATAACTATTTTTTTATATTATCATAACGATTTTCCAAATTTCATTGTCTCGGTCACAGAAACAAAGTTTTTCTGGAATAGCAGGGATTTCCTTTCTGTTCTAGACCCAACAGGTTAGGAAAAAGCAATTTCAATCCAGGAGCAGAACAAAAGTGAAAATTTGTTACATATTGTAATAATATATATATATATATATATATATATATATATATATATATATATATATATATATATATATATATATATATATATATATATATATATATATATATGTATATATATATATATATATATATATATATATATATATATATATATATATATATATATATATATATATATACATTTGTTACATAGTGTAATAATAAATAAATATATATATATATATATATATATATATATATATATATATATATATATATATATATATACATTTGTTACATAGTGTAATAATAAATATATATATATATATATATATATATATATATATATATATATATATATATATATACATTTGTTACATAGTGTAATAATAAATAAATAAATATATATATATATATATATATATATACATACATTTGTTACATAGTGTAATAATAAATATATATATATATACATTTGTTACATAGTGTAATAATATATATATATATATATATATATATATATATATATATATATATATATATATATATATATATATATATATACATTTGTTACATAGTGTAATAATAAATATATATATATATATATATATATATATATATATATATATATATATATATATATATGTATATATATATATATATAAATATATATATATACATTTGTTACATAGTGTAATAATATATATATATATATATATATATATATATATATATATTATATATATATATATATATATATATATATGTATATATATATATATATATATATATATATATATATATATATATATATATATATATATATATATATATATAGATATATATATACACACATTTGTTACATAGTGTAATAATAAATATATATATATATATATATATATACATTTGTTACATAGTGTAATAATATATATATATATATATATATATATATATATATATATATATATATATATATATATATATATATATAGATATATATAGATATATATATAGATATATATATGTATATACAGTGAAGAACCCAGAGGTGTTTTAGTACCGTTTTACTGGTATGGGTGCCCAAAAAAAAGCGCCTAAAAGTTATTTTTAATTTTAATATTTCTTTTGATTTTTTATGAAAAATAGAAAAAAAAATTATTTTTAAATGCAGTAGTATATAAATAATTCTCAGTTTAATTTAACTACCTCATTTTTTCTTTTTATTTTAAGGAAAATAAAAAGAATTAAAAAGAAATTTTTTACATAACTACATGACATAATTTGCCTTCGGTTATTAACTGGACATAACTTTAAAAAAAATGAAAGTTGTTACGAAACTTAATTTTAAAACCACATTACAAAGTTTTTTAACAATGGAATGTATAAAAGGTTTGCTTTTTTGAAAGTTAAAGCATTTTTAAATATCCATTCAGCATAAGATAAATTTTTGTTTTTGGCAATTAAGAGTAAACTGCTTTTGATAATAAAATAACATAAGTAAAAAATAACTTGTAACTATCCTTGTAACTATTGTGCAAGTTTAATTTTTAAATGAATGATCTTTAGCTTGCTATTTTAGTTTACGTAAGAAAAAGGAAAAAACGAAGTATAAACTTTTTTAGACAGTTTTTTTTCCTTTCAATATTCTTTTTAAAATAATAAAAAAAAAGGTTTCAATAACTTAATAAAAGTTTTATTTAAATCTTTTTTAAATAACCCATAGTAAATGTAATTTATTTATTGAAATGTAATTTTTAAAATTATTCTTAATAATTAAAAATATATATATTTTTAAATATATGTTTTTAAAAATATAATATGGTTTTTAATCAAAATAATAGAATATTTTTAAAATTATGTTCACTGTAATTATCTTTAATTTAAAAGGTGCCTTAAAATCACTTTAAAAATTATAACCTTTGGTAAAAGTTAAATGAACAGGTTTACTAATATTTAAATCAAAATTTTATATTTAAGATAATAGAAACTAAGTTTATTAAATGCTTATGTTTTTATTCAAATATTTTATTTGAATAGTTTATTAAATACGTTTATTAAATGCTTATCGAATTTGTTTATTAAATGCTTATGTTTTTAATTTAAATACAAGACGTAAAACTATTTTGTTAATTTTACAAATATTATGCAATATATATATATCACGTAATATTTGTAAAATTAACAAAATAGTTTTATGTATTTTATTTTACGTATAACGTATTTTGCATATATTTTATATAATATATGTAAATATATTATGTAATGTAAACATTGAATAAAAATTGTTTAAAATATTTTTAAGTATTATTTTAAATCAAATTTACTATAATATAGTTAATAACTGTTTAAAATACTTTAAATAATTTTCAATAATTATTTACTGATAGCGCAGTATATATATATATATATATATATATATATATATATATATATATATATATATATATATATATATATATATATATATATATATATATATATATATATATATATATATATATATATATATATATATATATATATATATATATAGTTTTATATAAATAAATATTGCTCTATTATTTAATAGTATTGAGCACTCTTAAACGCACAAGAGTATTTGTATTATTATTATTATACCATAATAATACATTATCTATTTTGTATATATATATATATATATATATATATATATATATATATATATATATATATATATATATATATATATATATATATATATGCCAAGCCTCGGAATTAGCAATAATTTGCCGACCTCAATCTTTTTGAAGTCGGCATCAGATAGGCAAAAATTATTTGATACAAAGATCTGACCATAAAACATAGAAACGATATCGGCATTTTTTTGCCGACCTCAAGCACTTTAAGGTTGGCAGTTAATTCCAACCCTAATTCCGAGGGTTGATATATACACAATATATATATATATATATATATATATATATATATATACATATATATAATATATATATATATATATATATATATATATATATATATATATATATATATACATATATATATATATATATATATATATGTATATATATATATATATATATATATATATATATATATATATATATATATATATATATATATATATATATATATATATATATATATATATATACATAAACCAGATAGCTTAATTGAAATAAATAATTTTTTTTTTTTTTTTACAGAACAAGTTTTTCATTTGTTACATAAAAGTAATGGGGAGGCCCCTACTTTTTTTCTAAAGGATCTTTTTTTTTTTTTCAAGAAAATTCTAGATAATTCTAGCCTTTTTTAATAATTGACAATTGTGCCCCCTTCCCACTTTGGAACCCGTGTTGTCAGCCCTGTGCCTTCTAGACAAAGACTTAAGAATTAATTAGAAAACTTCTGTTTACCTTCATCTAATAGACTGGCTTGATGTTTTTATTGTTTTTTATCTATGATGATAAATGGCGGATCCTTTTGAGTCTACTCAGGTTTATACTTGTGCATATTTTATTAGTGGCTACGCATCTCTTTCTTTTATCTTCTAATGAGGGTATGGTTTTTACTTATTGCAATGGTTCTGAGGTCTAGTAGTAAGTTTTTTTGAACTCTGTGATACCTCTCAAAGAGGCTTATTCCATCATCAGCTATAAAATATCAGATTATTAACAGTGTCATGTTTTGCATGGATGGCATCCATTTATGTGCTTTTGGTGAACATTTTAGAGGCCACATAAGAAATGAGGAAATTGCATAGCTTAATGACTAGTTTGCCAAGATTATCTATTTTTGAGTCAGTTTTTCTCTAGTAATTTAAATTATCACTACAATATCAAAAAATATAAAAATATGAAAAACCATTTACAAAGTATTATGGTTTATAAAGTATTGTGGTTTTTAAAGTAATTTTTTTAGTATTAAAACTTCTCTTTGTAAAACTAACTTAAATTTGACCTTTTTTTTCTTTATAGATATAAATTTAGAAATTTTAAATATATGAATATAGAAAATTTTAATTTAAAGACATTAAATTTATAATTTTTAATGTTTAGACGTAATCAGCATGACATCATTTGGTAGTAGCATCTTCGTTCTTCATTCACAATGCATTGTTACAGAGATTCAATTGCTTTCTTTAAAAGATTTTCTTAAAACTTTTCATGATCTAGAAGAATGGGAAAAAGTTGCCGAGGTCAGCAAACAAATTTTTTATTTTGTAATTTTAATTTTTAGAAAAAATTCAAATCTATTGTTCAGAATCTGTGATTTCTTGAACTCTATATAAAATATATTGTCTAAAGAAGATAGTTAAAGAAAATCTTCATCTAGATATATTTAAAAATATTTAAAATTGTTTAAAAATTGAATGCATTAAAAATCCAGGAATTTTTTTATTTTATTTTTGCTTTTAATTTTTTGTTTGTTTTTGTTTTCTTCTTGTGTAATATTAAATTCTTTTTGTGATTTTTTTATTTAATTTATATATGAATGGTCTTTTCGACTCATGGAAATTGTATTACTTGTGTATTAGTTGTATTAGTATTATTCAAATATAATAATATAAATGAAAATTGAATTGCCTATTCAAATATAAATATAACCTTAAATTTTTATTTATTCTATTACTCTTGAAACCACTGTAGATGTACTCTAAAATTTGTAATTTTTTTTTTTTGTAGCAATTTAAACTACAAATTACGCATTTATTAAACTATAATAACAGATAAACTATAAATTTGTTAAACTTATTGAAATATTATAAATTTTAATGTTAATTTTTTTAATTTTAGATTTATTTGATAATATATAATGTTTATAAAGCAAAAAAAATTTATTTAGGTTGCATGTAAATGCAAAGAAAAAATTCTTCAAAATGTTGAAACATTTATTTCTATTGATTTTTATAAAGCACAAAATCAGCTTGAAATGGAAAAGGTTTATTGTTATTATTTTATTTTATTCATTTGAATGCTGTTTCACTTTTTTACAGCAAATAAACTTATTGTTTTTAGACCAAAAATTAAAGATTTTAAAATAAATTTTATATATTTTTTTTTAAGTTACCATCAAAGTTCTTACAAGAGTTTCAAAACTTTGTGAAAGACTTTGAGCAAAAACATGTTCAGATATGCACTGAAATAGAAAAAAAAATGAATCAAAATATTTCTGAATGTAATCAAGAAGATTACGGTGATATCCAATCTACAAACGATGATATCCAATCTACAAACGATGATATCCAATCTACTAAGAGTACTAATGATGATATTCTATCTACAAAGAGTTCTAACAGTAGAATTAGCACATCAAAGTTTGATAGTTTTATGGAAAAAGCAACAAATAAAATTGTAAAAAAGGTTGTTGCTTCTGGTAAGATTAACTTTTTTTAAATTGTGTTTTAAATCTTTTTTAAAATTGCACAATGCCTTGCAGAATCTTGATTCAAAAACGTTTTTCAAAATGATATGCTATAAAATGAACTGAATAAGGCAGTATTTTGAAAGTCTTGTTTTTGGTCTTGGTCCTGTATTCCACTATCTTGCTCATGGTTTTGGTTTAAGTGTCTCGAGCAGTGAATCCTAATTTTTTTGGCATTTTTTCTAACTGTCAAATTAAATATCTGAAAATAGTGTAGTAATGTGTTTATTATTTTACATGGTGTGGCTGACTCCATCTGACCTTTTTGAACATCATTGTAATTATGTTTTATTTTTAAACTAATTATTCAAAGTGGTTATTTTACAGTATATACTAGGTGCATAATAAAAAAATGATGCAATTAGAGCAGAAATGGCAATTTTTTAATTAAAAAAATAATATCCTTTTTGGAAAAAAGTTTATAAAATAAATTGTTTTCTACCATGTCTAAAGGAATTATATTCAAAAATTCTATTTTTTGACCATCAGAGGCAATAAATGCAAAAACCATGACCTGACTAGGATGTTTTTTTTAAAAGTATGACTTAAGTGTTCTGAAAGTTCAATTTTGTTGCCTAAAATAATAACATGGTTGTTTCTGTTATGTGAGCACAATCCACTAAGAATTTTGTCATCAGAGAAAAGTAAAACCTGCTTTCCTTTTTTTAACAAAGCTAATATTTGTTTCCTTTTTTCAAGTCTGTTGGTCTTTTTATTTAAAGTCATTTAAAGGGCTGAAGATCTAGCCCCAATATTACATTTTATGTTGTTTCTCATTGTTCCCTTCGACATGTCAAGGTCCTTTGCCATCTGCTGCATTGATTATATCGGTTCCTGGTCATCCAGGACTTGACATGTAATGTGATGAAATAAGGAGTTTCACAAAAAAAAACCTGTTAACCTGCTGTTTCTTAAATCCATTAAATACAAATATTTAATAAGTTTATAACTTGATCAGATGTCCATACCAAATGATTGTATTGAAAAGGTTATATTCAATGTAAATTGTTTGTTTGAAACTCAAGATGAAAATCTTTTAGGATGATAGCAAAGTATTTAAAAATTAGTATAAAATCTAATAAAGAATTTAACGCCTAACACATGCTGAAGTAAAATACCAAATTGTTCTCCATATCATCCTAAAGAAAAAGTATGTGGAATATGCTTTGGAAAATCATTTTTTTAACTTAGTCCTCATAAGTGGGGTGTTTTGTCATAAGATAGAGGCTATAATAAGGCTATCAGCATGATATACTTTTTCTGGCGAGATTTTAATTGTATTATGCTTTATAATAATATTAAATCAAAAGATTTAAATGGTCTACTCAAATACTATAGTTTACCAAGATCAGAAAGTGTAAAAAAAAAAACAAACAATATAAAGTTGTTTAAAACAATTTTATAAAAAGAGAGATAAAATACAAACAATTTACCAGACATTATTATTCCAGTTTAATAGTATAAAAAAAAGATGTGAAAAAACTGTCTAGCTAAAATAAAACTTGAATCAATCTTAAAAACAAAGTGATATACTGAAATAAAAATACAATTTAGCAAAGAGAAAATTATAGTAATAAAAATTATAAAAGGAACCCCTTCATATATACAACTTCAAATATAAAATTTTTAAAATGTTAGAAATGCTTGAAAATCATCATTAAAAAAAAACTACTTTCTTTTACAGTAATAGAGAATGGTTTTAATAAAATTTTTTTCAAAACTAGGAATAAATACAAATTTCAAAAATATAGTTTTATAACAAAATGGGCACTTTCAAGAGCTGAGTCAGCATTTTTTTAACTATTTTATGAACAAAGCTAGGAAAAAGTTTTGACACAATTTAATAATGACTAATGTATGTAATATATAATTTTGGTACACTGATAAATTACATATATATATAATAAATGGGAAAAAAATACATGCTGTCTAAAAAACTCATAATGGTGATCAATAAAAAAAATACACTTTTGAAACCCTCTACTTAAATGTAAAGTTGAAATAAATGAAACTAAACAAAATATCAGTTATTTCTTTCTTACTTATACTTTTTACGTATATATTTGAAGAATGTTTCCTGAAAATTTCAAATCATAAAGTTTAATATTTAGAAAAATATAATATTTTTATTTTCTAAAATGTGCAATTTAAAACATAAAAAACAAAAAATGATGCTATTTTCAAGTTCTAAAACCCTAATTGTTTATCTTTTTATTCTATCAAATACTTATCAAATAATATATCATTAGAGTATAAAATGGCATTTCAGAAATAATAAGTACACAATTTTGATTTTTTTTTGAAAGTTATGTTTTTTTCTTCTTGTGGAACCACCTTTACATATAATTTTACATACAGTTGGGCGATTTTCATTAAGCGACTTTTTATCTTTTTTAACTTTTAAATTATTCTACAAGCGATAAGTTTATTAAAAAACCACTTTAATATTTGAATGACAATTATGTAAAAAAGTTTGTTACAAAAATTTGAATGACAATAATATTAGATATAAACACTATTTACAAAAGAAAAAAAACTCAAATAAAATTAAAAACTACAAAAAGCTAATCTCTATTAAGCTAATTATTTTATCAAAATATTCAGAAAACAAAATTGTTTATAGTTATAGACAATAGTTTTCTTTGTATACAAAGTAATTAAATAAAACCTTTAAAAAAAACCACAAATGAAATAAAAACATTTATCATCTTGCAAGCACAAGAATGTTTATACAACTTTTGATTGTAATTTAAAAAACTTACTTAAATTTCTATTTAATAATAAAAAATAAAATTTAAATTTTATTTTATCTTTTAATTTTATATAATGAAATTTTATTATTATTTTATAGTAATGATTGAATAATTTTTTTGCTTGAAAAAAACTTTAAGCTGTCAAATTTATTTTTAAAAATTGCTAAATATTGTTCAATATTTAAATTATATTTATCCTTAAAAAAAAATTAGCTTAATTTTGTTGCAATTGTTTTTTCTTTTTTTTCCTTCATAAAGATTTTTTTTTACTCAAAATTAAATTTTAAACAAACGTGTTATTTTTTTATTTTTATTTTTATTTTAATTCACCTCCTCAAGGCCGAGAAGGCCACTACAGACGAGGAGGCTACTTATTTGTGGTTATAACCCTCTCTCAACTCTATAACTCCGAAACACGAACCTTGACGAACAAGGCCGCTGCGCGGAGAAACAAGTTGAGCGCGGTACTACCAGGGACGTGGTGGGGATCAAACTCGGAACCACTCGTTTATGAAGCGAGCGCTCTACCACTACACCACTACCGCATAAGACTGCATATAAAGTTTGCACTTATAAGACTGCATCGAAAGTTTGCACCAAACGTAAGTTAAACTTTTTTTTATAATGCCAGTTTAAGCACAGTGATTATTTTTAGCTACTATATACCTTGCCTATAGTTACTGCATAGCCTGTGTCTCACGACATAGCAACTACATAAGTATGTAGCCTGCTATATACTTATGTAGTAGCTATGAAAAAAGAAAACAACTTGCTACCAATATAAAATATGTAAAACAAAGGCTATTGTGACGAAGAATTAGTCAAAATTTTAATTTAGCTAAAAAATTTTTTTTAAGTTTTTAAGGATATAACTACTACATAGTCCACTTTATACCTTTTAAATAGCCCAATATACGTTTCTCCATCAAGTGCAATACCAACAATTATCAAGAATGCTGTTATAGGTTTTTTTGGTGAAAATTGATGATTTGTTAGCTCTTAATGCTGATAGAACTAACATTAATACTTATGTGAACAATGGTGTAATAAGATTACTGGAACTGCATTTGGGATATCCAGTTCAAAGGTTAGTGTGTATGTTTTATTTTAATGAACTGGCATTTAAAATTTTAGTATTGCATTTAGAGGGCACCACTTCTGGATCTACTGCTTTTACTGGCAGCATACTGAAAGCACCTGCAAATTGTCACAAGTTACAAATTTTCAAATTTGATGTCAGGCAGAATAACTTACTGAACATTCTACATGAGATACATTAACATTCTACATGAACATTCTACATGAAATAATATTAGTATCTTTATAACATGGGCAAGGCAATAGAAAAACATGAGGTGAATAAAAGCCTAGAAAAAAAAGCCCATTTGTTCATTCTCTATACCTTACACCAGCAAATCAAATCCTTTGTTTGTATGTTGCAAGTACTCGTCCATTTACCGAGCTTGTAATACTTACTGATTACATTCTTTGAGTTTATGCACTGGTTTTGTTCTTTACAAAATTGGAGCCTCAATCTTACATGAAGGCAAAATGCTTAATTCAATTCTATTGATTCCTTTCTGAAAGTGATTAACTTATAGTTGATAAATGCATTCAAAGAAATGCATAATATGGGCACCCAGAAAATTTTTGATATCAATGTTGATGGATGAATGAAAAGAAATAAAAGAGTTAGCTGCTATAAAAATTCAATTTGAAAGGCGATGTACAGTTTCAAATTCTACAGAAGTAAGAAAATTCCTCTTCTAAACTCTGATGCAGTTGATTACCATGGTCTTGTAAATTGGGAGGAACTTCCAAGGGCTCCACTACCTATATTAAAAAATTTCATTGAAAATGAAAATCAAAATATGCAAAAGTTGACTTTATACCATTTCCCATTCTATTTTCAAAATGTAAAAGGATATTTTAAATTGGTTACAGAAGCAGCCTCGGCCTTATCTGGAAAATGAGAAGAGACAGAAACATTAAAGAAAATTTTTTTTTTAGAAAGTATATTTTTTCTTGGACTTCTAATAAGTACAATAAAAATTACATATAAAATGGCATTTGAAAAACTTTATATTGGTTTTAAGAAAAATGATTGGGCTAATTATTCTAGTGCTTAAGTAATAGTGCTATTGCGTAAACTTTTGAGTTTTAAAACAATTTTGAAGCTTTGACCAGAAAACATAAAAATTATTGAATTTTTGGTACAGCAGATATTTTTACATCATTATTTGAACAAAAAAAAATGCAATGATGATCTGAAAAAGTTTCAAAAAAAAAAAAAATAATAAAGAGATTGAAATAGAAAAAAATAAAAACAAATTCATAACTTAAATAATTTGTGTACTGTTTTTATTTTTGTTTCTTTAGAGTTACATTCAACAACAAAAATTAGATAAGGCGAAGCAAAAATAAACAGTTTGAAGTCTACAATAAAAAGAATGATTTTCCTTTTCTTAATTTTTTTTTAAGAGGATAGCAAAAATACAAATTGCAATGTGTTTGTAAAATTTATTTGTATAATTTTAATGTAACAACAAGGGTTGAATTAGGCGAATGCAAAACGCAAAATCTGTAAAAATATCTAGTATTCAAAATTTTAGTTTATACAAAACCGTGTTCCTTGTTTTTAAGGGGAGAATCAACTTAAATTTGTTAGCGAAAAAATAAAACAATAAACTTACGATTACAAAAGTAATAACACTCTAATCACTAACTGCATTACAAAAGTAATAACACTATAACAGTGTTATTATTTCTATAACGCAATTATAACTTTTAAAATTCATTCTTTGTTCAAGCAACATTAGTATTTCCAAATTTTAATTGAAGTAGAAAAATATCTAAAAGAATAAAGTAGATAATCAAATAATAGTAAAACTAAAGTAACTTATAAAAACGTGACAAACAACTTTATGAAAAGTATAGCATTATGAAAAACATTACTAATGAGCCATAAAAACGCGCATTAATTTTAAAATTAACCAATAAAAATTTTTTATTAGTTGATTTTAAAATTAACGTGCGTTTTTACGTAACGTTTTTCATAATGCTATACTTTTCATAAAGTACTTTTTTATAATGTTGTTTAAGTGATATGTGAAAGTTCCTGAAATTTTTAATAATATTTGAATATCCGCTTTATTTTTCTAGATGCTTTTCTACTTTAATAAATGTTTGGAATTAATAATGTTGTTTGAACAAAGAATGAACTTTAAAAGTTATAAGTGCTTTATAAATGTAATAATACTATTATAGTTTTATTACTTTTATAATGAGATGAAAAACCGCACGCCTTTCCTGGGAAGGCTTGATATATATATATATATATATATATATATATATATATATATATATATATATATATATATATATATATATATATATATATATATATATATATATATATATATTATTTACATGGAGAAAAAACAACTTTTCATGGAGCTATAAGTTTCATGCCTATACAGCAATCATCAGCCATGTACTATATCAAAAACAAACAAAAAAACGTTAATAATATTACAAAATACAGTGAAGCGACATCTGACATCTCTATGGAGACAAAACAAGAAAAACCTCAAAGAAAATTTATATATAAATCATCTAATCACTAGTATCATAAAACGAAAATAGGAATTTGTTTTTATGTCTACAATTTGAAACCAACTTGATGCTTTTGTTCAACAAATTTTCCCCTGTATTCATTAAAATATAAAACTTTTCATTAAGACAAAGGTTGCAAATTTTGGACGAAGGATTATATGTATGACAGTGCTTGATAATTTTTCACTTAGTAAAAAATAAAAAGTTTTCTTCTTTAAGTTTCCAAATTTCTATAGATAATTTCGTATCATTTCTGTACTTAATTAAATTAAAAGATTTTAAATGGTTTGCATACCTTAACTTGAAAGGGTCTCACTAATACCAATATAAACTTTTTCTTTGTAATCTGGTTTATTGGATGAAACAGTAGCTTGATATACAATATTCTTACTTAGACACTGGTTGTTCATAATACAGGTAGATTTATTGACACAGTTGTAGGTTATTGTTGCTGTTTTTTTATGATTGTATAAATTATTTTGATATAATAAATGTATAAATGACCAACAGGAAAGTTTGCATCATTTATTTTTTAAAAAAGATTACCTATCTTTGTTGCAACATTTTTACTATATGAGAAATTATACCAAATAATGTTCCGTTTATGATTTTTGTTTTGAATGGGTTTTTTTTTTTTTTTCTGACTGATATTTCTGACTGATATTTGAGCTTGGATGAGAAACACGAATTAAACAATTTCTTTGTGAAATTATAGCTTTTCTCATTTTTAGTTAAATAATTTTGCAAAAACATGTTCATTGTGTGTTATTATATTATTAAAAATAAATTTTATCAATGTTTGTAGATTAAGTTTGAAATTAAATTAAAAAAAAGTGTCAGTAATTGGGAAAGTATAACAATAGTTATTAAGCATCCAGCATGTGTATTATTAAACTTTTTCGATAAATATTTTCTGTTCATGAATGAATTAGTGAACAAAATGTCTTTATTTAGTCTTTAGTTAGTATTTGAGTGCAAAAAACAAAGTATAAATGGTTTTAAAATTATTAGGTATTGTTTTATTATAGGTTTTATGAAAAAAGTTATATATGATGCGTTAGAGAATGAAGGTGTTCATATAAATAAATCTTTACATGAAAATATCAAAAAGACAAAAAGTGTTCCGTCCTCCCCTACTCAATCTCGAAGTAATATTTCAGAGTCATCAATAAAATATGAAGAAAAAACGCTTAATAAAATGTACAATCAATTACCAGAACACCACTCAATGCCAAATATTTTTTCAAATACAGATACTAATGATATTGTTTATCACCGGTTTGTAATCATTTTAATAATTTACAGGTTTATATTTATTCTTTCATTAATATCTAATGAATTTAATAAATATTTTATGAACAGACATTTGTAAAAGTGTATTTGTATGTTTTAAAGTAAATTAAAAAATATATAGTCTTACAAATTAATTAGATTATAATTGTTTTATGAATAAAATATACAAAAAGGAGTTAATTTTAAAAAGTTATTATTTATATATTATTTTGCTGTTGCTGTTACTGTCATTGTTATTATTATTATTATTATTACTATTATTAAAAAACAATTTATAAAAGGTTTTAAAGTTTCCACATTGGCTTATTGTTTGTCTTAGTAGATTTGTAATTTTATTTTATTGTAGTAGGTCTCTTTTATACACAGATATTATTGTGCCACCCTTAGTGTCCTACACTCAGTGGATGTATATACTGAAGTCCCTACCTATTCCAGCGTGTGTGTGTGTTATTTGTTTTTTAATTGTTTTTTTTTTAAATATTTATCTCATTAAGGTCCGAGGGCCAAGTTCCAAGGTCCATGTGCCATTAAAATTAAAAAAGTATAAAAGTTGCCTAATGATTTGCGTCAAAGGTAAAAAAAAAATGTACTACTTACAAAAATATTTTAACAGATCAAAAAAAATATTTTAACAGAAACCTTGGAGTATCTCAAAGTTATTTATTATATAAGCAAAAAAGTTGTTGAGTGGTCACACTTCTACAACACATTTTGGTGTTATTTTTAATAAAAAATATAGGCACTTTTTGATTTGTTTAAAACAGGTAGTTGAACTTGAAAGAAAAATTATTTACATTAATTCATAAATTAAATAGAAAGAAATTGACATAGTATTCTATGGTTTCAGCTCAAAAAATATATTATCTCTTGTTCCACCAACTGAAAGGTTTTGATTAAATTTATATTAAAACTGAAAAAAGTTATGTAATTTATATCAATCCCAGCAACTTTAAATTTAAACCTAGTATTCTTGGTATCTGTGAATTGAGTTATTTAACTGTGGTTAGCCCACAGCTGGCCTGTGACCACAGTTAAATGTTATTTCAGCAACTATTTGTATCAATCCCAACAACTAAGAATTGAGATCTATCATTTGCAAAAAAATTAGTTTGAGATTTACCAATCCCTGCAACTGCAAAATGAAATCTACCAATCAAAAGCAACTATAGTTTAAGTTTCAAAGTCAATTGTAGAATAAAATTTTAAAAAATAGTTTGACTTATATGTAGTTTTTACAAAAAATTATTTTTAATTCTGGTATTTGATTATTATTGTTTTATAATTGTTAAATTTTTAGAATGCAAAAGAAGTCGAAAAAAAAAAGTAAGAAATTTAAATTTCTATTTTTAAATTAAAAACAATTTCTATAAATTCTACTAGTTTAAAAGATATATTTTATTAGTGAATTATCTTATGTAGAATCTTCACAAAACTGTAATAAAAGATCTACTGATTTCACTGATGTAAGTCTTTTTTTTTCTGATCATATCTATAACATCTATTAATGATAATATGCCAGCTATTCAGGATATCCCACAGAAGCTTCTATCTGTGTCTTACCAGTTTCTATAAATTAAAGTCTACTGATTTTATAAATTTTTTTAAATTTTATTTATCATATTTATTCTATATTTTACTTATTAACTCTTAAAAAAAATCTTTTTTCTGTATAGAGCTCATCTACTGAAAATACATCCTCTGAAACTAGTATGAATTTGTCATCAGAAAGTGTTACCTGTGATACTGGTGAATCAATTAATGGAAATTTTATTACACCGTCATTTCGTTTTGAAATAGAAACAGAACCACCTATTTTTTTGTTGAAATTGCCAAATAATTATTTCCAGATTATCAGCAAACTTTTAAGTGTTACTGCTAATACTAGGTATGTAGCGTATGTAGTAGGTATGTAGGTATGTAGCGTATGTAGTAGGTATGTAGCGTATTAAAGATGTAACACAGTTGTATTACAACTGCTAATAAAAGGTTGTAAAATTATCTGGTTATAAATTAAGATTTTTTGTAATAAACAATGTGTTACATCTTTCTCTTACTCTCTCTCTCTCTGTGCAGTTTCTTTCTCTTTTACTGTGCAGTTTATTTAATACAATATTACTCGCTGTTGGGATTCGTAAAATAGGGGTCATGGTAAGTCTTTTCAATACTGACCATTTCTATGCTTATTTTTTTATATGGTCTTATTGCTTTAATGTTTTTTTTTTTTTTTTTTTTTTGTTAAAAGCTTCACCCCAATTATTTTTTTCAAAAGAAAATGTTCCAATGTAACATCTTTCTGATTTAAAAAAGAAAATTTTCTCAATATGTTAGATGGGCAAATTTATCTAATTGATTACATAAACTTGTTAATAACTTAAGTGTCTCTAACACAGATGACTATTGCATTACATTTCTCTCTGTGTTTTCAAAATTTATAGTTATAATAAAATTTAGATCCTCCCATAATGAACCCCTTTCTTTATGATTAATCAACAAGGGAGAAAAATTATTTTAATTTAAAGTAATCAAGATTATAAATCAAGAGGAGCTTTTACCATAAAAATAAAATGCAAAATAAACATATTTTTATTTACTTGTATATGTATTATAAGAAAAAGGGACAAAAGAAAAAAGAGCAAAATAAATTTTATTTACAAAAGTTATTTACAAAAACAGTACCAATTTATATTTATAAAAAGAAAAACTATCATTTAATAACAAAACAAATATTATTTATTTACAATTACTATATATATATATATACAAATTAACAAAACAAAATATAAAAAAATATATATATATGTACAAAAAACATTAAACTTCATCTATAGTTATTAGATTAACAAATTACAAAAATACTAATTATAAATGTAGCGTAAAGTTTTCCTTCCCCTCGTATTTCGTTTTTTAAGTAGATTGCTCTCACGATAAAGGAGAGGAGCTTTGCCCTTAAAATGAGCTCACACACTATGCGTCTTAAAATGAGCTCACACACTATGCGTCTTAAAATGAGCTCACACACTATGCGTCTTAAAATGAGCTCACACACTATGCGTCTTAAAATGAGCTCACACACTATGCGTCTTATAGGATGCGTCTTATAGGATGTGAGCCCTGTATTCATTCTGTGGTATAATGAAAAAAGAACAAAATGTAAAAAAAGTATAAAAAATCAAATATCATAATAGAAAAAAGCAATAGTCATAATGGTATGATAAAAGAATAAAAGACATCACATATAAACACTACAAATCAATTTATCTGACAATACTGTTAATGCCATGACTGCTGTTAACTGCTACCAATGTTGCTAACTGGTAGCAGTTAGCAACAATGTTGCTAACTGCTACCAATGTTGCTGCTGTTTTTATAACACAAATAAACAAATCAGGTAAAATCTTTGTTATCAATTCCTTTATGCTTTATGTTAACGATTGTTTATTTAAATTTAAACAAACAATATGAAATAATAAATATTAAAAAAGCTAAACATTATTTCCTTCATTGTTATTATTATTATTAAAATAATAATACTGAAATTAAATAATTTAGTCAATTAAAAACTAAATCAATTAAATAAAATGCAAAACATAAGTTGTTAAAAAATGAAGTGTGACTTTAATTATTTATTATTTTTAGTGTTAAAAATAATCAAAATCTAAAAGAAAAAACACTTATTGCAAAGACAATAAACAAATTACCAAAAGCATAATTAACAGTACAAACTTTGTAATTTGATTGGAAGTCAACATTTAAATTTAAAATTTTATAAAAAGCTGTTAATAATTATTTTTTATATCTATACACTGCAATGCTTGTAATGAGTTGACTAATGAAGCATGTTTTTAGATTTTTAAAAATCTCACTCAATCTTTAATCTAGTTATCAACAAGTTTTTTTCTTTTTAGTAACAACATCAAATTTTTAGTAACAACATCAAATTTTTAGTAACAACATCAAATTTTTAGTAACAACATCAAATTTTTAGTAACAACATCAAATTTTTAGTAACAACATCAAATTTTGGTTAAAACAAAACTTATTTAACAAAGATTTACAAAAAACGACAAAAAAACAAAAAACAACAAAAAGAAGCGACAAGAGAGTATAAACATGATATTGTTGTTAACATCTTTTTTCTTTATATTTTTTCATTTGAAAATGAAATAGAACAAATCTTACAATGTCTTCCAGCAAGATTGAATTTAAAGTACACTAATTTTTTTGTTCAAAGTAAGAAATAGGTTAAAAGAAATAAAAAAATTATTATTTTTAATTGAAATATTTGCAAATATTCATGTTAGGATATATTGGTCATATATTTGATTTTTTAATATTTGAGTGGTCAAATTTGAATATTTATATTAAATTGTATTTTATCGTTCATTGCATTTTATTTCAAATAATCCCATGTAAATATATATCTAAATTTACATGGTAAATCTAAATATTTTTTTGGGATTATTTTTTTACATAGAGATATTAGTATTGTTTATATGGTAGTTTTTTTACTGTTAAATATATTTGTACTTTTTTAGTTTTTAAATTTTTTGAAACTTTATATTGTTATAGTAACAATTTCCGTGACACAAAGATTTTGTACAACATTAATAATGTGAAAAAAGTGCTTAATCATTGGTCAAAAGAGTTATCCTCAGTTACTGTTGAATTCCAAGAAGAAGTTTTTAAATTATTAAATGAAAGTATAAAAAATGCATTGAGTGATATTATTTTATCTTTTATAGACATTGAAAGTAGGTTTCTTCTTTTCAAACAGCTTTCAGCTGGTTACAGTGAAATTTCAAATGTAGCAATGCTTTGTTTGCAGACAAGTATTTTTCCTGAAAAATGTAAAATGCCACATAATTATGAATTTGCTCTTCTCAGTTTTGCATTGGACTTTGATACAATGAGAAAAAGTGCGCAGCAAGAAGCAAAAGAAATAATTAATAAGAAAAATGATTTAATAGATTCAGAAATGGCTGATGAAAATCAAAAAAATGCTGTATTAAAAGAAATTTCTTCTTCAACAGACATTAGAAGTACAATGAATACATATGAATCTTTATGCTTAAGAATGTTAGTTTCTTCTGGTAATGATTCTGCATTTGAGAAAAAATGTTTCTTTGGTGAAAACAAAGATAATGAAAATATAAGCTTGTGTGAAGGCTTTTCATCTGATAATATGACAGAATGTGTTTCTTGTATACTTGATAAATGCAGGGCTTGTTTTATTCTAAGATATTTTCCCATATTAAACTTTGAAAGAATGTATTCACTTTTATTATGGAAAGGTGGGTGTCGATGGAGATCATGGTGTGCATGTATGGTTCATTTAAAAGGTTTGCAGTTTTGATTAAAATTTGATTAAATATTTTATTTCAGTTAGATAAACTAATTTTTCTTTTTAATGCCACATTTTTATTATGTCTTTGTTTAGAGCTTTACAAGCATAGCAATTTATCAAAAGCAATTGCAAAAAATCAATTAAGTGTTGAAGAACTTTTAAGCAGTACTGTAGAAGATTTTCTAGGCAATATATCTAGGTAAAAAGTTTTACTAATTCAATTTACAGTCTTTCAAATAATTAATACAGGTTTATATAAATAATTTTATATACATATAATGAATAAATCTTATGTTTAGTAGTACTTTTGTCATACTCATAAACATTCAGATATTATGAGTTTTTCTCAAATCCTTAGAGGAAATAAAATGCAAAATTTTGAATCATATGAAGGTTTTTTCTGCATATAATTCAAAAAACATAAAAAACAATTTTTCTCTTAAATTCTTATAGCATTTATACTGATTTTTCTATATTAACAAATAGCAACACTTTTTCTGAGTCTTCTACATAGTATTTTTTTGGGTTATCTTTTCTACTGACTTACCCATATACCCAATCCATTACAAAATTTAGCATTTACTAAGGTTGCCTTCTTTTTATCATGGTTGCCATTTTCTTTCTCCTGAATCTATTATTTATCTTTTATCTGTTTTTTTTTTTACTGTTTCTGATAAATATTGTTTCTTTAATAAAATATGGTCTTTTTAATCTTTTTAAAAAGAAGAGCAGCTAATAATAATAAAAGAGTGGTCTTTAAAAAAAGCAATAAAAAATGGTTTTTTGCAGTCCACCAATACCAAGCCACCAAGCTACTTAACAATGTTGTATTTTCTTTTATTCGCTTATAGCAGCATTAAAACTGTAATGTTAATTGATTATCAATTGTGGTTCCTTTTACTTTAGTACTTTATGTTTTGATTTTTCCTATATAAATATATATAATTTATATAAATATTTGACATTTTATCAACAATATGTCCTGTAGATAAGTTTTATTTAAAAAGAGTATTCTATCATGTAATACATTTTTCTATTAAAGTTGTTTTGACATAAAAGTACAAGGTAAGCAGCTTAATTCACTGCAACTACAAAGAAAAAACAAAATTCAACATATTATTTTTTGACTTCCAAGATACCAATGCTCTTTTCCTTTACAGTAATTAATTGAGTTTAAGGAATAAATTCAATTGATTACTGTAATAAGCTAAAGATATAAGTTTTATTTTAATGTAATCAAATCTTGTAATTTGCCATTGACTTCATTTATGTCAAAATATTCCATTAGCTGCTATCAATAGCAATAAAAAAAGAATAAACAATTGATGAATTAAACTACCAAATAATTTTATTTTGAATGTCTCATTTTTTATATTTTGAATAAATGAAACAAAACTTTTTTATTTGATTTTTTGAGTTCTTGTTTCAAGTAAAGATGACAAAAGAATAGTACATTAAAATCCTGTTAACTTAGACCCTCAAAAGAATAGTACAGTAGAATCCTGTTAAATTAGACCCTCAAAGAATAGTACAGTAGAATCCTGTTAACTTAGACCCTCAAAGAATAGTACAGTAGAATCCTGTTAACTTTTGACCCTCAAAGGAAACAGATATATTGTCTGACTAGCAAATGTCAAAATTAAGTAAAGTTCTTGGTTATACTTATTGAAAAAATCAGACTCAGCTATCTTTATATTTTATTATATATAACATAGTTAAAACACCATTGTCAAATGTTATCAATGTTTTGTAGATAAAGTCAATCAAAACAAGATCCACATCAGGTTGCCCTATCTAATTGATTAAATGTTTTAATGCTGAATTAAATCATGCTTTGAATCATTTGATAAATTTAATTTTTCCAGATCCTTCATTAAAACTTTGAAGCAGTTAATAGTTGTTTTTAAAACTTCATTCAGGAATGAACTTGTATTACCATAGCATCAATTATAGAAAAAGAAGACAATAGTTTTTTGTTGTCATTTATGAGTTTTCTCTATTTTGTGCATTCACCTGCACTAAATATATTATGTCATAACTTTTTAGAAATCTTATCAGCAAAGTTATTCAACTCCAAAAAGCCATAATTTCATTAGTAACATCTTGATCTTCAATGAACCATAATTTCATTAGTAACATCTTGATCTTTAATGAACCATAATTTTTATTAGTAACATCTTGATCTTCAATGAACCATAATTTCATTAGTAACATCTTGATCTTCAATGAACCACAATTTCATTAGTAACATCTTGATCTTCAACAAACCATAATTTCATCAGTAACATTTTGATCTTCACCTTGAAAAAAGAAAAAAGTAATTTTAAAATGAACAGCAACTTTATTTTCTTATGTTTTAGGATTTTGCATTAGGATTTTATTCCAAGGTAATGAGATAATTAGATTGCAAGATGGATTGCAATAAGATTGCATGAAGAATTTTTTACTCAAGCTTTTCAAAGCAATTTAAAACAAAATGAACTAATTGATGAATGATTTTGGTATGAGAGTGAGAGTTCTGCAGGAAAATAGTTTTATAGATTTTTTAGGTAAAGAACTTTCTAATAATATGAAAGCATTAATGTATAATAAAATACCTAATATTATTTTAAAGAAACTGTTGCTCTTTTTTACCATCTATCTAACCACCCATTGGATGCTTAAAACTTGTCACACCAAAGATTTTTTACAAAGTACAAAGCCTTGGCTTTAAAAATGGGTCCAGACACAAGTAGGCTTTAGTGTCTGGTATTTAAAAGCCACATATAACATCCAAATATTTTTGTAAGGACACTCATATCCTGACCCTTTTTGGATCCATATCATTCTCTATTGCCAACTTCTTTAGTTTTTTTTATTTTTCAGCTAAAGTTCTTGTGTTGAGCTTTCTTTCAATATTTTATCATAACAAATAGAATTTAATCCAAGGTTATTTGAATTGAAGTGAAAATGATAAGTTAAATAATGTGAAAATGATAAGTTAAATTATATTTGACACCAAGGTATTCAATTAATTCTCTTATGTTTGAAGTTCTGATTTTTTTTAAGTTTTTGAATATTTTAAAGTTTTATTGTTGTATTATGTATGTGCTTAGATGCACTTAAGCACCTAGATGCACTTAAGCACCTAGATGCACTTAAGTGCCTAGATGTACTTATTTGCTTAGGTGTATTTATGTGCTATTTAAAAGCCCTAGTTAAGTAAAGTTTTTTTGCAGACAAAAAAGTACAAATTATTAAGTTCTGATTGTTAAGATTGATTGTTTAACATTTTATTACTAGTATTATATTTTATTAGAATCAAAATGAATAAAAATATTTTCATTATAGACTCTATATAGTTGCTCCTCATCTTGTATCACTTTACATAAAAGAAGGTCAATTTACAAATTGGGAGGTCTCACTTTTGTATAATACTGGCTATTTAAAAGATGCTTCCAATGATTTCTTATTGTATGCTGAAAATACTTTTTTGTCGTTAAGCATGCATAAACTTCATCTACTTTTCTTATTGTGTTGCCTTACGAACTCACTTAATAGTCAGCCATCTATCTTAGATTTGTTTTGTACATGTGGTAAACCAAGACCAAGAGCAAATTCTATTGAGTGGAAATACCAGAAGATACTAGTATCTTTGTTTGATTATCTTGAGGAGCTTAAGAAAGATACACAAACCTTTTTGTTACTTCAAGGCATGAGTAACTTATGTTTAAAACGTGGGTAAGTTTTTGTTAGTATTTTTAATTTTACATAAAATAATCAAAATAAAATGGTAGTTTACGGAATAATTTTCACAAGGTGATATACAATAAATTTGCTAGAATTTTTTTTTTTTTTTAATAAAAAAATTTATTTTCAACAAGGCTGGAAGCAACTACTATTTAGGTTAGGAGTTGCTAGAATCTAATAGTTTAAAGAAGAAAATAAATGTAAATAATGAGTCAGGAAAGCATGATGATGAGAGAGAATTTCAAAATATTTATGTTCAAAGAAAAATCTAGATAAATTGATGTTTCATCAGACAATATTGTATTCAATCAATATTCTATCGATGATAGAGATAAGAGCTCACTTTAGCAACTACCATAATAGTATTGGTAGAAAAGAGAAAGGAATCCAACCTTACTATAATGGGACAGACACCCAAGCTTAGCAGCTATAACAGGTCCAACTACATTTGCAATTCTTTTTAGGACTTTGTCTGAAAAAAAAAGGACATTGTTCAAAGAACAGGTCCAAATATAGCAATAGTATTTCATAAAGGTACAAATTTATGAAGAATTAAATCAGGAGTAAGAAAGTGATAAGTAAAATAGAAATTGTTTTTAGTAAATGTTTTTGTTAATTGTACAATTAATTAGATTTGGAAATCATTTCCTTGAATGAACAGTAGAGAAAGGTAGTCTGAGATGACCAAAGGTAGAGAACTTATTGTAATGATTCATCAAACTTTGTTATGATCGATCAACAATATTACAATAATGATTAGCAGTAAACAATTGAGTTTGGATTTGTTGATTGGCAGTAAATAGTTGAGTTTTGATTGGTTGATTAGCAGTAAATAATTGAGTTTTGATTGATTAATTGGCAGTAAATAATTGAGTTTTGCTTGGTTCAAGTTTATCAGTTTATCAGCAAGCCTAAAGCTGTCACCAAAAAAGCGATTTAAGAATGTATCAGAACTACTTAAGGTAACATTAATATTGATGAGACACATTTTTGTCTCTCATCAATATTAATCATCTCCTTCATTTCTAGTACCCTATAAGGCACCACAAAGTCATGAGGTATCCCAGAGGTTACTGAAAATGTTGGAGAGTTTTGTCAATCACAACTTTAATATAGCCATTAAAAAGAAATGATTTAAAAATTTTAAAAGTCATTTCCCAGATACACCATATCAGAGAGAGCTTATGAAAAGACCAGCCTGCATTATTTGCAGCATGCTAGAATTTTGATAAATCTTATAGTTGAAGTGGTGTTTTTCAAAACTTTTTCCAGTTGCAGGAAAACAAGAATTAAGCACTTGTTAAATATTTTAGAGTATTGAAAAGAGTTCTAGATAACATTTGTCTGTGATGGGAATGTTGTCTTGACGACAAGCCATAAAAGACTTTAGTTGCAAAATAACTTTTGAAACAAAAGCTGAAAGGATGTCAAACAATGGATTCTGGGATATCAGGAAGATTATAATCATTTGATTCAAGAGATTAATATAATGAAAAGTTTTTTTTCAAGTAGTTCTGTCTTATTATTGGATTTATTTTGCCCACATTAAGACCCACTTTGTTCAATTGGTGGGTTGCTTATCTGAAAAATTTATCTCACTTTTTTGTGAAATACCACCTAGGTCAATTGAGTTTAGATTTAGAAACAATTTTTTTTTAATTTTCAAACTTTGTATTTTTTAAAGGTACTGGACAGGGTGTATTAAGTTACTGGTTTGGTTGAACAAAATAAATGATGCTGTCACTTTGTTAGTTCAATTACAAGATGAGGAAATTTTTATATGGGTTACAAAATCTGGTAAGTCTTTAGTTAGATTGTTCTATTTAAAATGGTTAAAATTATAGTTATTTAGCTTTCATTAAGAAAATTATTATTTACTGTTATTTTTAATGGTTATAGTTGTTTTCATATTATTGATTATAAGTATATGGTTATGATGATTATTTGGCACCTAAAAGTTTTTTACTATTTAAGTCCTTAAATGAAAATTTTACTAGTATTTTCAAATGTATTTGGTTTAGGATGCTTGAATCTTGATCTATGGTCTAACCTCCTATACGAATGCTCAAATCAATCTGATGTTGAAAAACACAATTGTGAAGTTCTTGATGGATTACACTCGACATTAAATCTTGATAAAGTTGTGCGCAGTGCTGCTATTGAAATTGGTTGTTTTGCTGTCCTAGAAATTATAAACAAATTTTGTATTAGTGTCTCTTTAGACCTTTACACATCATTATTACAAGCCTTAAGCCATGAAAATCAACAGAAGTATGGTTTTGAATGATTTAATAAAAAGTTTTGATGTTTTTTGAGTTTTTAGCAGTTTCTAAATTATGTATTTACAGAATTGTGGTAGAAAAGATTCTACAGGTGGCTAATGATAAAGTATGGACTGATAAAATAAACAATGTACACTCCAAGGTTTGCAGATTTTTTACACTTTTGAATTTTGTTTTCTTTCTTTTTTTTCTTATTTTTAATTACTTTTATTAAGTTAGAGAATGTAAAAAACAAAGAGTTAATTGGAATTGAATCAACGTTCACTGGAGAATTCACTGCAGATTTTATCATTAATGAATCAGGTAATTTTGAAACAGTTTTGTCTTATAATAGACTTAATTTTTTAGGCTTGAAGTCTTTTTTTGAGATTACAGAGAAAACTTGCTATATTTTTCTGAATTTTTTTCCAACTTAAAAATTTTTAAACAGTTATTATAAAGGTATAATTTTCTGGGTATTTATAAGGTATATATATATATATATATATATATATATATATATATATATATATATATTATTTAAATAAATAATTTATAAGGTTATTTTTTGTAGTTTTTTTTTTTTTTTTTTTTTTTTTTTTTTTTTTTTTTTTTGATTGGTGAAAATCAATTTAATAAAGCAAATCAGTGTTCAGCCTAAATTACAACTATAAAAAGACACTGACAACAGTTACATTTTTTTATAAGTTGTTTTCCCTGTTGCTTGTTGTATTAGTCTTAGTCTAAAATCCTGCAACTTTAGAATTAAACTGTGGTCACTGCAACTTTAGAATTAAACTGTGGTCACTGCAACTTTAGAATTAAACTGTAGTCAGTGCAACTTTAGAATTAAACTGTAGTCACTGCAACTTTAGAATTGAACTGTGGTCTTTACTAATTACAATTTCGTAAACAAAGCTCTGATTACAACTGATATATAATTTAATTTTGAAGTTTAATTAGTTCAGTTCATCAGAAAAATGTAAAGATCTGTATGTTTGTTTTAATAAAATAATTGTTTTGATAATTGTAGATAGCATGTGGGGAAGAAATATCAATCTTTCTGAGTAAGTTTTTTATTAATTGTTGTGAATATTTATTAAAATATTTTTAAAAAGAAAAAATATTTAAAGTGGTTTAGTTTATATTTTTGTGAAAGTATTTTTAATTTTATGATTTGTTTATTTTATTATAATCTTTTACAATATTTTTTCAATATTTTTGATATATTTTTTTAAATTAAAGCTTTTTTTTTGTGTTGCTTAAGTTTTTAATTCACCTCCTCAAGGTCAAGAAGGTCATTACAGATGAGGAGACTACTTATTTGAGGTTATAACCCTCTCTCAACTCTATAACCCCCAAACATGAACCTTGACAAACAAGACAGTTACACGGAGAAACAAGTTGAGCTCGGTACTACCAGGTACATGTAGGGGATTGAACTTTGTAATTGACAAAGTTTTCATTTATTAGTGTACTATAAGAAGATAAATGTCATACAAAGTCTTGTATGTTATTAATAATATAAAATGTTTTATGTTATTGATAATATAAAAACTTAACTTTATAAAACAGAAACAACTTCGTGATGTTGTCTTCATGACAGTGAAACTAAGTTTTTTATATTAACACAAGCTCTTTATATTATCATTACTTTGCAGTTAGTCAAATGTCTGATTTTATACGCTTTTAAATTTAGATTATTAATTATTTGTATTATGATGTGAGTTAATACATGAGAGGGAAAAGAGCCATAATGTTTGCTTTCTTGCAAATTCTGCAAGAACAGACAGGAGCCTCAAAGCCATGTTGCTTAACAACAGAAACATTCCATTCTAATAATCTCAATCTGCATCTTAGGAAGCATTACACTAGTGTCAAAATGTTGCTAAGTGGCGTGTCAAAATGTTGCTAAGTGCCTTAAAGTATGATGACCAATAGGAGGTTGTTAGAAACTTCAAAATGATATTATTTTTCATGGGTGTTTGAGGTGATTTCACATTCAGTTTCTTTCTTCTGCCTCTGGGGTAGCACAGTGTATTGCCTTAAACAAGCTAAGTGGAAAAAAGTCAGTTCAAGAAGTTGACTAATTGATGGTGTTTTCACAATTACAGTTCCGCATTGAATAACGACAGAATATTTTTGAAAAAAACTACATTAAAATTGATAAATCTTTTTTTTTTTTTTTTTTTTTGTTCTTTTTCCTATGCCATTTTTATTAATCAGCAAATGGGGTTGTAATAGGATTTGGTAACAACACATATAAACAGTGATTTACAAACTCTGATGTTACTGATGAGTTTCTTTTTGTATTTTTTTTCTGTTCCATTGAAATTGAGTGACAGCCAAAATATTATTTGACACAATCCGCAGCCATCATCTACATTTTATTCCCAAATAATTAAGTAAACAACAGAAGTTATAAATAATTAAGTAAACAACAGAAGTTATAAATAATTAAGTAAACAACAGAAGTTATAAACAATTAAGTAAACAACAGAAGTTATTTTTTCAAAACTTTTAAAAGAAACAAATGTATCTACTACAACAGATTTTAAAAAACAAATTTTAAAAGAAGTAAAGAACCTGTTCCAACATTTGTAAAAATTGACAAATCCCAAATTACACAACCATATATTCTCAATACTCTTATACTCTGGCATCTATATTTGGCATCTTTAAGTACTTCCAAGAATTTTTTTTTTTTTCTGGCTCAGAACATTTTGTTTTGCATGGCTTTCTGTATAATCATAAAGCTGAAAACTATGTGGAGTTGGTTTAGATTTTTTAAAGTATAATAGCAAAATAGGATGCAAAATGTCTTATCTTAATAAATTCAAAGTAATAAGGCAAGTGCTTTCATTAAAATATTAAGAGATTATTTTTATAAAACCTGTTTTGATATTTATGTGCTTCTTGTAGTTTTGAATTTTATTTTACTTAATTAAAAAAAAACTTTTTATCTTTACTAATTTTTTTAAGTTTATAACTAGTTACTTTTTAAGTTATTATTACTAGTTATGTGTTGTTTTTTAAGTTATATAATTTTTTTTGTTCAAGTTGGCACATAAAAACAAAATTACTCATACTGCATTTTGAAAATAAGCTCTTCATATATTGGACTTTGTTTGTGGACTGAACATTGTTATTAAGGACAGTATAACAAAAATATAATGGGGGGGGGGGATGACTATATATGTACTTTGTGAAAGTGATGTACAGTACAATTCTAGAAAAATTCATTTTCAAAGCCTTTTGAAAGATTTTTTACTATTTTTGTCTATTTATATGCAATCATTGTTTCTTATCTTAACAAAAGTATAAAATTTTACTTATTCTGTCATAATAAAACCAAATATTTTTTTTTGTGTTATGTTCATAAAATAAAAGTTTGTACCCAATGTAATTGTTTTTATGACTGTTCCACAGTCTTTAGTGGTAAGCAAGGATTGGCAAGGTAAGCAAGGACAAGTATTGTGTTATCTAGTCCTTGTAATCTTAAAATAATAATCAATTATTAATAAACAACTTTTGCTGATTAAAAAATGCAAACATCAGAAATATTAAATTCAACAATGAAATATATAAAGTGTTAAAAACTTAATTCATAAAACAAAGAAACTTTAGTTATTGCCTACATACTTTAAAATCTATCAATTTTATATTACAAATTATTATTGTATTTAACAAAAAATTATGTTGTAAAAAATAATGACTTAAGTGAATATAATATTATAAAAAAATGTAATTGTTTGAAAAAAAATTGTTTTGATAATTTCAGTACAACATGTCCATTATGCACTTTACCGTTATGTATAAAAACATCAAGTACTCTAAATGGAGGTCTAATATTGTTTCCTTGTGGTAAGTTTTCCTTTTACCATTAAACTTTTTGTTGTATTATAATTTTTTAATTAATTGGTAATAAATATTCAAAAAATTAAAAAAAAAAATGTATAGTTAAATTTTTGTCATTTTATTTTAGGTCATATCTTCCATAAAATTTGTCTACCAGAGCTTGCTTGTCTTATTTGCTTCTACAAACGTTTTACATCATTGAGTTAAATGATACATTTTTTAAGAAGAGATGTTGTTTGTTTAAAATATCACAGTTACTCATTTTTAAGAATTTAACACGCAACTAATCTCACTTGGTCAAAAATGCGTTTTAGTTTGTTGAGAACTCTTTTACTTTTTTTTTTTAATTTGTTTTTATAAATTAGCAAATTAAAATAGAAATTTAAATTCTTTTGATGTCTAATGTTGTTAGTTTAATGTTGTATTTATTGTTATATTTTTACACTCTTCAATATTAAAATATAAATTACTAATGAAAAATTTAACAGAAATATGCCATCACATAATGCTTTTTTTATTGTTAAAATAAAATGTAAGCTACGTTTCAAACATTAATAATGTTGTTAAGTCAAAACATCCTGTACATGTTTTTTATTTGTGTTATGTGTCTGTTTTGTGTCTGTTATGTTTTTTTTAATAAAATCAATTTATATCTTTTTATTTCCATCCTTGAAATTTTTTAAAATCTCTAAAAATATGTTTTGTTTATCTTTAAAAATATGTAAAATATATTTTTGCGTTTATATTTTAATGAAAATCATTTTTAAGAATATAACATTTTAAGTTTTATCTATTCCTCTTTTGTTGTCCTATTCATTAGAATCCAATTTTCAAAAAGATATATTAAATATTGTTTTTTAAATTGTACTACATTTTTTTGTGCAAATAGTTGTCAAAATTCATTTAGAAGATTATTATCTGAAATACTGGATTGCTAAGTAGATTAATTATTGTTTAACTGTAAGAAGCCATTTTTAAATGGTAAGTGTTTCCGACAGAAAACAAATACTCTGAATAGCTTTATGTGTAAATTATGAAGATTTATGTGAATATGTAAATTTATGTGAATATTATGTAAATTTATGTGAATATTATGAAGCTTTATGTGTGTTTTTGTTAAGTATTATTATGAGAGCTGTAAAGTAATTTCAATTTTTTTTGTAGGCTGTTACGCTAAAAACAGATTATGGGAATATAAAAATTGAGTTGTTTTGTGAAGATGCTCCAAAGACATGTGAAGTAAAAATACTACTTATATATTTATTTTTCCAAAGAAATAATTTTTAATTAAATGATTTTATGGATTTGCAGAATTTTCTTGCTCTATGCGCGAGTGGCTACTACAATGGATGTATCTTTCATAGGTATGAATATTTTGTTCTTATTTATTAGCTGGTAAAAGTTATTTACAGCACATGCCTTGGTGTATATGATAAAACATGATTTTTTTTTTCTGTAATACTTTTTTAGAAACATAAAAGGCTTTATGATACAGACAGGGGATCCAACAGGTTTTATAGAACTCTTTTTTCTGTTAAATTTTTATTGTTTATTTTTTTTATTTATTTATTTTTCAGACATTCAGTTTAACTAGCCAATCTAGTATAATAATTGTAGCTAGTAGTTATTATTCTTGTATTATTTTTTCACTTGTATTTTTTCTACTCTTGTATTATTTCTTCAAGGTACTGGAAAAGGAGGAAAAAGCATTTGGGGAGACAAATTCAAAGATGAAATTGTACCTCACTTAAAAGTATGTTAATTGTTGATAAGAAGTATAGGGTTATTCCATATCAAATCACCTAAAGGCTACCAGGGTACCACCTCAGATTTGCTTTAAATTTTGACCACACACAGATCTTATGAAAAAAATAGAATCCAGAAAATTTCAGTTAGATTGACCAATTAGTTCAAAAGTTATGATTGAATTAAAAATGACCGAAATCTGAAAAATTTGTGTATCAGGAGCTTACAGCAGTTTTTTTCAATTTTTGACAAACCATAACTTTTTAAATAAAAATGGCAATCACCTGAAATTTTGTAACGTAATAGTTTTTTTTACAGTTTTTGAGTTATTGTACCTTAAAGTTGCTAAATATTGCAACATAAATATTTTTCTGAACTTTAACGTGTTACAGTTTAATACTTACTTACAGTAAGTTGATATTTTGTTATCTTTGTGTACTTAGGGTCACCACTTGTTAGAATAATCAAAATTATGCATTAAAAATTAATTTAGCACATGCAGCAGTCTATTGAAAAATCACTTTTTTAAAAAATTATGATAAATTACATTGACTTTGTTGGCATAGAAAATAGCATAAATAGTTGAAATAAATTATGAATTTAATGTTGAGGTTCTATATATAGACAATCACCAAAAAAAATTTAAAGACCTATACTCTGTCTTATGACATGATTGTAGCCTTTTGAGAGTGATTATATTTTCAGAAGGAGAATGTTATTAGACTATGAGCTAGCCTTAGGTCATTGTCTAATAATTAGTCATAGGGATGACAGTAGTATATTTTTTAATTATCTCTGAATGAATATATTCAGTTTTCTTTTTAATGACATGTCTTAATTTGTACTAATAATAATGACATAATAAATGCCATAATCAGTGTCTGATATTTAATAGTTTCTTTGAGATTTAATATGTTTATGTCTTTTTTAAACTTTTTAGATTAGTAATAAAAATAAAAAAATAGTAAAAAATGACAGAGAAATGTTGTGTGGGGAAAGTTTTAAATGAAGATTGCGACAAAACATTATTGTAGAATGATTGGAAGAATAACACTAAAAGATATTGTGAACACAGATGTTGAAGTTTTAATTCAAAGAATTGGACACACTTTTGAACTAAATGAGGAGATATGTTTTTACCATAAAAAAGACTATATTTCTAGATATGAAGCGCTTCAAAAATACTGCTGTGATCTGTTTAAAGTCCACAAGAAAAAAATTATTAAGGGGTTGTGTAAAGTCAATATTTTAACAGCAAATCAACTTAAGATCAAACCTGGTCAAAAACTTTGCACTAACTCTTTGAATGAATTCAAACTTGAACAGATTACAAGAAAATTTAGTCAAGAAGATGAAGACAAAGATGTTGATGATGAGGAGTTTAGTTCTTCAGACCTAAATAAGACAGTTTTAAATAAGAGTGCTTCTTTACTGATAATATCTCCTCTAAAAAATGTAAGCAAACGTGACAAATTAGAATATGGAAAGCATTTAAGTTAAAAAACTGGAAACAAGTATGACAAACCTAGTAACATCAGCATTGGATATAGACACAAAAGAAATAATATCTGAGAAAAAGCAAAAGTGCATTAACTGTAGTGATTTAGACAAACTTATAGATGCAATAAAGGAAAAAGAAAAAATCAGTTTGAATGATGAAAAAGTTCAGTTACTAACATTAACTCCTGATAGTTAGTCAATTAAAAAAACTTGCAATGCATTTTCAGTTTCAGACTATCTTGTTAAGAAAGCCAGAAAGCTGAAAAATGATAAGGGAATACTTGCTAAACCTGAGGCTAAAAAAGGACATCCTTTGGAGGATATTGTTAAGCAAAGAGTCATTGAAATATATGAATCTGACAAATACACTAGACAATGCCCAGGAAAAAAAAACTTTGTTTCTGTGCGTATAAATAATGTTAAAGTTCATAAACAAAAACGTTTAATATTAGTTCGTTTAAAAGAACTTCATTTGGAATTTAAGAAGTTGTACTCTGAACACAAAGTTGGATTCAGCAAGTTCTTTGTACTAAGGCCAAAGCGGTGCCTTACTGTTGATAGTAGTGGAAGCCACTCAGTTTGTGTATGTTCTTACCATCAAAATGCTAAGTTGATGTGCTCTGCTTTTCCTAACAGCCATTTATATTACAAAGATTTAATGAAAGTATGTGTTTGTAATATAGATAGTCGAAACTGCATGTTTCATCTATGTTCCAACTGCCCAGGTAAAATAAATTTGAAGACTTACTTGGAAAATGTGTTTGAAAAGAATTATTTTGATTTTGATGTTCAGATCACATATACTGACCGAACTGCACTTATTACAGCCCAAACAAGCATTAGTGAATTTATTGAAACTCAAAGTGAAACTTTGTATGACTTTTGTCACCACCACTTTATCAAAGAAGCACAGTCTTCCTACTTATCAGAGGCTAAACAAACATTAGACCAATATAACTGCTTTTTTCTGATGGATTTTGCAGAGAACTATATTTTTCTTGTACAAGATGCTATACAAGATGCTGGCAAGCCAATCAAGCTACCTTACACCCATTTGCTATTTATTACAAAGATGAAAAAGATCACCTTAAATGTGAATGCTATTGTTTAATTTCTGACCATTTTTGTTATGACCAATCAGCAGTTCATTGTTTTCTCACAAAGTTGCTCCCTATGGTCAAAATCAAACTACCCAAAGTGAATAAAGTTAAATACTTCAGTGATGGTGCTGTGTCGCAATATAAAAACTACAAATGTCTAATAAATTTAATTTATCACATTGTAGAAATAAAACCAAATAAAAATAAAACCAAATAAATGCTGAGCATCACTTTTTTGCTACGTCACATGGCAAAAGTCTATGTGATGGAATAGGAGGTACTATAAAAAGAGAAGCAGCAAAAGCTAGTCTACGAGCAGCAATTACAAATCAGATTTTCACACTACAAAATCTGTTTACATGGGCTCAAAAGAACATCAAAGGTGTTAACATATTTTATCTTTCAAATAATGATATCAATAACCATGAAACAACTTTTAACCTTCAGAAACGATATGAAGGGATGCGCACAGTTCCAGTAACAAGAAGTTATCACTGTTTTGTACCAGATGGAGAGAAATTATTTTTACGAAGAATCTCTAGTGATACTGTCTATGATACTCATGTGTTAAATGATGTTAATTTGATTTTAAAAAATCCTTCAGATTTTCAACCCGGTAAATATATTGCATGCTTTTACAATAAAGAATGGTACATAGGGCTTGTGGTTGATATTTGTAATGAAAACCATGACGTTAATGTGAAGTTTATGCAAAGAAACAAATTAAATTTAAAATAGACAAACGATGCACGGTCAAGTCAGTGTTGGGTTCCATTTGACCAGATAATATGTCAAATAAGTGTTCCATTCATTGAAAGTATAAGTGCTCGTGACTATATTCTTGCTATTAATGACTATGACAGTATTATGAGTTATATAAATCAGAGATAAGCTAATTAGTTTCATTTATACATACTTTTTCTTTTAACTGATTATTGTACTCTTTGAATGCACTTTTTTGCTGTATAGTTTGTATACAATTTGAGGTATACATTTTGTATGTGGTTAGTGGTATTTTTTTGTTCTCCTTTAAAAAATATCATCACTCTCAAAAGGCTACAATCATGTCAAAGGCTACAATCATGTCTTTAAAAATTTTTGGTGATTGTCTATATATAGAAACTCAACATTAAAAAGTTTCATAATTTATTTCAACTGTTCAAGCTACTTTCTATGCCAGCAAAGTCTTTTTGAAAAAATAATTTTTTTAAATTACAATAAATGTAATTTATCATAATTTTTTAAAAAAGTGATTTTTTAATAGGCTGCTGCATGTGCTAAATTAATTTTTAATGCATAATTTTGATTATTCTAACAAGTGTGACCCTAAGTACACAAAGATAACAAAAAAATCCACTTTCTGTAAGTAATTATTAAATTGTAAAATGTTAAAGTTCGAAAAAATATTTATGTTGCAGTATTCAGCAACTTTAACCCTTTGAGCACGGGGAGCCACGATCGTGGCTATACCGTCAGAGCACGTAGAGCCACGATCGTGGCTTTAAAAGTGTTCATCAGAACTATGACTTTTTCTACAGAAATACCGCTATTCATAATTTAAAAATGGTACCATTGAATAGAGCACATTTTTTTCTATCTTTTGGTATATTGTTTGTGTATATTTTGTATTAAAGATGAGTGACAGCGAAGAAAGTTTTACTGAAGAAGAAAGTTGTACAAGCGAAGAATATTTAAGTAGCAGTGATGATAGTTTATTTGATGAAGGCACAATATTTTTTATTGAAAAATTGTATACAAATTTATTTAATTTAAATATATCACCAAATCTAAGCATTTGAAGTTTTTATTTTTATGTAGACTCCGGTTCTGATGACGAAGCTGGTGTTGATGATGTTTTAGATTTGTGGCTTCCTGTTGTAGGAGATGACAATGGCCCTAATGTTTTTGCTTTTACTGGTGTACCAGGACCCAAACATACTATTTCACCAGAATCAAAGCCCATTGATTATGTTGAATTATTTTTCACTATAGAGTTTTTGGAAAAGTTAGTAACTTATACCAACCAGTATGCTGATGCATGGATACAAAGTAACCAACAGCATTTGAGATCTCATCCATTGTCGATAGGTCATGTATGGATAAAGCAAGGAAAAACAAATTTTTTAGAAATAAAGGCATTCCTTGGTGTTGTTATCAATATGGGTCTAATCAAGAAAGCTAGTATTAAACTATATTGGGATATTAGTCATCCTTGTGCTTCCACTCCCTGGTTTGTTACTCATTTCAATCGTGACCGTTTTCAACTTTTACTTAAATTTATTCACTTTACTGATATCTCTATCCCTAATCAACAGCAACTAAATAAGATTTATAAAGTTCAGTATTTAGTTGAACATTTTAACAAAAAGTTTCTCTATTTTTATATTCCTCAAAAAGATATTTCTATAGATGAGAGCATGATTGGTTACAAGGGAAAGACACCACATCTCCGCCAATATATGCCAAACAAGCGTCATTCTCGATTTGGAATAAAATTATGGTGTGTTTCAGACAGCACTAATGGGTATTTATCTCAGTTTGAAATTTACAAGGGAGGAAAAAATCCAGATGAAGCTGTTGTTGCCCATGGTATGACTTACAACTTGGTTTTTCGTCTTTTGCGTCAAGCCAACCTCCTTCATCAAGGTTATCACTTAGGTATTGATAACTATTACACTTCTCCACAACTGCTATTGGATCTATATCTACATCAAACCACAGCAACAGGAACAGTAAGAGTAAACAGAAAAGGTCTGCCAGAAATCTGCCTTAAAACAAAATTAAAAAACAAAGAAGTTTGCCAATATAGAAAAGGTCCTTTGTTATGTGTGGCATATCAAGATGGTAAAAAAAAACCTGTATTACTGTCTACTGTTGCCAAAGCAAGTTTTACTGAATTGCGCAACAGAAGAGGTAATTTAGTTATGAAGCCAAACGTTGTTGCCCTATATAATCGAACCATGGGAGGGGTAGATTTGGGAGATGCACAGCTCTACGTTTACCTGTCAGAGCGTAAGACAATAAAGTGGACTACAAAAGTTGCCTTTTCTTTATTTGGCAGGGCTATTCTTAACAGCTACTTATTGTATAAGCTTAACACTATTGAACGTAAGCCTATGTCTAGAATAAGTTTTATGATGGCAGTTGTGGAAAGTTTAGCTGGAGGGTATCAACCAGTAAAAGTAGTATCAAAAAGACGAACATCTAGGGAGATGGAAACGGCAAGAAGTACAATTGTACCATATCCACTTCCTCAACACACAGCAATTAATAATCCTTTATATGGACATAACCTTGTCAAAATTGGTTCAGGAAAAAAAATAAAATGTGTAGCTGGGCACCAAACTCGTATTCGTACCAGTTGGCAGTGTCAGTCATGTTGTGTTGGACTGTGCCCTGGATGCTTTTCAAATTACCACACAACAGCTATAAATTAAATACATACATTGCATTTCTTAAATTCTTCTAAAAACTAGAAAAAAAAAACTAAAATTTAAAATAGTTGTTTTTTTTTTTTTTTTTTTTTTTTTTTTTAGTTCAGTTTCTACGTACGGTGTTTAAGTTTTATTCCGCGCTTCCAAAATTCCAAAAATCAGTCGAAAACAACTTCATTAATGGATTATTTGGGTGAAAAACTATTACTCTACAAAATTTCAGGTTAATTTTTTATAAAATTAACCTGAAATTAAATAATTTTTTAAATAAAGATGGTGATCAATGAAATTGATCACCATCTTTATTTAAAAAATTATGGTTTGTCAAAAATCGAAAAAAACTGCTGTAAGCTCCTGATACACACATTTTTCGGATTTTGGTCATTTTAACATATTGGTCAATCTAGCTGAAATTTTCTGGATTGTATTTTTTTCATAAGATCTGTGTGTGGTCAAAAATTAAAGCAAATCTGAGATGGTACCCTGTGGAATTTTCTAAAAACTAAGGGATTTGATATGGAATAACCCTATAATAATAATTTATGTTATTATTACATGAAACTACAAGAAGAGTTCACAAAATGCATGTGCAATGGCGCATGGTTCGATTAAATTTTATTATATCAAGTACTCTTTTATTTATGCTTATAAAAGAGTATTTAATTTGTGTTAGTCTCAAAATCACAAAATTTTTCTTTACATTATTATAAATACCTTTATAATATTATTAATTTTTTTTTTTACAACCTTTTTCTAAAAAAATCTTTTGGGTTTCCAATATGCACTTTATACAATTTAAAAGACTTAATATTATTATAGTATAAAATATTTTAAGTTTATAAATTGTGTATAAGATTAGCAGTTTATAAAGATTTTGTGGTGTTTTAAAAGCTTATTTAAAAAGTTATTGTGAGCACGTTTTCCACTAATTTTAGAGCTTGATTTGTTTTATGTGATTGCAGTATGAATTTATTTTCAAGCACTACACTAAGAAATTTCACTTTCTTACTCCAAACCATCTGAAGTTAAGTTTTTTTTTCTTCTTATATAATCTGTAACATTAGGAACTTTAAACCAAATACTAAAATAATTTCTTTTTTGTTTTAGCATTTGGTTTTTTTTTTCATCTTAAATTTCAAACAACAAAAGAAAATAAATTTTGAATGTTTTTTTACTGAACAAAACTGATTAGTTTAATTATGACACCATTATTTGAGATATCTATCGATTCATATCAATTTTATGTGATATCTAGGACTACCAGAGATTATTTTAAAGGCAGCTATTCAAAGGTTTTGTCCTGATTTTTTGGTATTATTTTAAGAACTAGTATTTATTTATATTTATTTCTCTTTTATTTGATTTTTATTTTTTTATTTTCAGTAAATAATTTTTAAGACATTAAAAAATTATTTATTAATTTTTATTCAGTTTTTGGTATTTCACCTTTACTTTTTTTAACTTTGCAATAACTCTCCATTAAATTCCTCTATAGTTTTTACTCCAAATATAATGTTACCAGATGTTGTGATTTTTTTTTTTAATAATATATTCTATTCTATTTTATGTCTGATGATGATTTGATTTCTTCTCAAAAATCTCAAGTGTTTTTAGCTATAATTTTAAATCAACATTTCATAGGTTTTACAGGGTAAACAATAGAACTGTAGGATGCTAGATTTTTTGACTATGGGTAATGCAACATTAATGCACAAATCGTAGTACACTCTGATATTTTTTTTAAAAGACGCGCCCAAATTTATCTGGATTGTCGTTAATATGTTAAAAATAATGGCACTGATATTAGTTACATACAAATTTTAGAATGTAAAAATTATTATAAAATTTAAATAGTAATTTTTTTACAAATTTCATAGTTTTTTTCAATTTTTGTCAGACAAAAGCAAAATGCATATTTAAAAAATCTTCCCCAAAAAAACCTATGTTTTTAGAGAAGAAAAAACAATCTTTAATATAGATAAGACACAACATGAGACAAAGGTCATATGGTTGCAACTTGCTGCAATTAATCCATGATTTTTCTATTATTACTGTTAACATGTCACCAGTAGAATCAGAAAATCAAAGCGTTGTTCGTCCAAAAGTTGTTGGACTCAAGACGAAGTTGTTAATTGAAAAGTTTTGCAAAAGGATTTTGTAAGACTTGGAAGGACAGGAATGTTGTCATGACTACAAGTCATACAAGACTATAAGTGAAAAATTAAAGCATTGGAGTAGGAGTGGTTTGGATGTCTAGCAATGATATTGATGGTATAACCTGTTTTTCTGGAAGAGAGAGTTTGATCATTCGAGTAAATTGTTTTTAATTTGAATTAAGTTCACATTATTTTTAATGTGCTGTGATCTGTCTATTGTGCTGATTTCATGTAGAGCTGGTCTTTGGAGTTTTGCATTTCAAAAAGCATTTTCAATAACATTATTAGGGTATTCACATTCTTTTAGCCATTTTTTTTATTTCTGCTTAATTTTGTTTTTCTTTTTGTAATCTGAGGTGAATATTTAGCAAGATTATAAGAAATGTACTTTTTTATAATATAAATGATGATTGTTGTAGTTTGTAATATACCTCAGTTTATTTCTGTTTTCAAGAATGATTAATATTATTATAAGTGAAATTAATAGTTTATAACTATTACCATTTTTTATAAACACTTTGCTGAGGTCTAGTGTAAAACTAATTGTATTATCTGTTTTGTTGAAAGTATTTTTAAAATGAATGTTTTGATTATGAAACCATCATCAATATATCTATAATAAAATTGTTGTATGTGATTGACTTCTTTGTTAAAAAAAATACTTCAAGAAAACGTCTTGCTTCTTCTAAAAACCCAATTGTGAGATATGCATAATTTGAAACAAAATTAATACTTATGACTGTTCCAGTAATTTGGTGGAAGATTTAGTCATTGAATATATTGTAATATATTGTTTAAATAAAAGATGATGATTCTAAGATAAATTAAAAAAAATTTTTCTCTATTAAATTTTATGTTTTACCATCTTCTATTACCATTTGATTTACCATTTACCAATTTACCATTCTCTATTAAAATTTATGTTTTACCATCCAGAATTTTAATGCTTCAATACCTAGATTTTTGGGTCAACCATAAGTACCCATAAAGTAAAATTTTATATTTTTTTGAAAGTTATATCAAACCAAAACACAAAAGTTATTTTGGTATATTTTTAAGTGTTTTTTTTATTTCTTAATGTAGTATGAGTGTTGTTTTAAAATCTATATTTTTAGCATAGCGTACGTGGTATAGTATCAATGGCCAACAGTGGTTTAGACACAAATGCAAGCCAGTTTTTTATTGTGTATTCTAAGCAGCCTCACCTTGATATGAAGTACACAATATTTGGAAAGTAAGAAATACTGTTTTGCTTTGGAAATTCAGTTGAAGATGGCTAATAAAATTTCTTTATTAAAAAAAAAAATTTTTTTCATTTTAAAAGTTTTGTGGTCTAATAAAACTTGTGGTCTAATAAAACAGGTCTAATAAAACTTTGTAAAAACGCTCTATTGGAACTTTTCAAAACTCTAAAATTTAAGTAGAACCACAAAAAAAAATTATTAATTTGATTATGTATAATATTGTATGGTGTATTGTTTATTGTATTGTAGGGTGTATTGTTTACTGTATTGTAGAGTGTATTGTTTATTGTATTGTAGGGTGTATTGTGTTTTGTATTGTAGGGTGGTGACTTATTCAATAATCAAAAATCATTAAAAAATCTTCAAATTATGTTGATGCTGAGTTGAGTTGAGAGGATTAAATATCATTTTATCATAAAATTATAATTTTAAATTTTACTCCCTAGAAAATAACATTTTTTAACTCTAAATGAAAAATATGGATTTTTACAAAATTTTTTAATTATAATGTTTTTTTTTCAATATTTTTTAATAAAATGATGATTATTTTTGAAATTTTTACATAAATTTGCTTCTTTTGAGACCCAACATGACACACTTTTGATAAACTTCTTTTTTTGATAATATTAGAATATTTAAGTATATGTTCCAGATTAGCTCTGGAACAAATACTTAAAGTAGAAGACTGTATATAGAAATTTTAATAGATAAAAGTATACATAATAAACAAATAAAATTAATTAGAAAAAAAACTTGCTAAATAACCCTATATTATAATGAGAAGTTTACTAGGTGAGGGATTTTTTGATTTTTTTCTGCAAATTAAATCATGACCTTCCTTTAAAGAAATTGTTTAAAGTTTTTTTAAGAAATTGTTTAAAGTTTCAAGTAAAGTATCTTTTAACTTAAAAGTTTTTTTTACTAAAATAATTAATAGTATAAAATTAGTGTCAAAAATAGAACTTCTAATCATTATAACTCATACATAAGTATCTTTTAAGAGAAATCACGTTTCCTTGCAAAATCCATAGTTCTTCCATTTAATATAGGCCATAGGTCTTATATTTCAAGGTCTTTCATTTTAGGTCAGGTCAAGATTAGGATTATCATGTTCACTATGTTACTGGTTAAATGTAATCCAGTACAACATGTCTCATGTCCTACTGTCTTTTAGGATATTTTTTTTCTAGGCAAAGCAGATGTTAGTGTTAGGCAAAGCAGATGTTAGTTCTGGATTAAAATAAGAGCCTTAGGGTTATTGTTTGAGTAAAGGTTTGAGATACAAATAAAATTTAAATAAAAATACTCATCTAGGGTAGATGTTCATTGCATCTCACTATTGCCTTGTAGAACGCCTCCTAGCTGATTTACTGACTCTATCAACAGCTCTATAATATCATAGTATTAACAGTGTTGTATTACTCATGGAAATTGTTCCTGTTGGCGCTTTTAGTGTGCATTGTCAAGTTCATATAAGAAATGATTAAGTCAACGTTCTCAAATTTTAAAAAAATATAAATAAAGTACCTTGAAGTATTAGGAAAAAAAAATTTTTTTTGAGCTACTTTATTGTCAGATCTGTTGGTTAATGGCTATTATTTTTTAGAGCTATACTTTTTGGGCTGGTTCTTCTAATGATGCTCTTTTAGATAAAGTATAAAAGCACATTATAAATGTAAATGGACCTGCGTTATCTACCATGTTGGAGCATCTCTGCCATTGTCTTAAAGTTGCATCTCTTTCTCTTTTCAACAAATACTATCATAGTCGCTGCTTAAAGAAACTATAATCTCTTGTTGCATCAACCAAAACTCGTTCTTTCTTGACTCCCAATTTAATAGTGGTTGCTTGCAGTCTTGCTGAAAGTGAGTTAAAATAAAAATAAATTTGTTTTCATGCTTTTGCTTAGCTCCTTTTCAATCAATGTGTTTTTTGATGAAATTGTCTCCCAGCTAATATACAGTATTGGACAAAATATTTGCAACCAACATCAAACAATGCTAAAGTGTGTTCTTAATTTTACATGTCTTAAAAATGAAACAAACTATACTACCACAGCAAACAGTTCAGGAGTCTAGAGTCATAGCATGCCATGACATGAGCAATCAGCTGACAGGTGACAGCACACAAGCAGAATTTCGTTGACAAGTGCCATTTTGCAGCGGACAAAACAAGTGCAACTTTTTTGGTTTGTTTCATTTTCTTAAGTCTGGTCAGTGTCAACGTCACAGAAGTTTTTTAATAATCAAAGGAAGTATCCAGAAGTTTCCTGGAGCATGCAGAAGCTTCCAGAAGTTTCCAGAAGAAGCATCTGGAAGCATCCAGAAGTATCCAGAAGCATTCATAAGCATCCAGACGCATCCAGAAGCTTACAGAAGTATCAAAAAGAAGCATCTAGAATCTTCCAGAACAGGTTCACACAGGTTTATTTTACTATATAAGAGACATGTAAACCGAAAGTCAGTCAGTCAGTATTATCAAGACAGTTTATCAAAGTGAGTTTTATCAAAGTGTTTTATCGAAGAACATCAATACAAGAAGTGAAATACAACAAGTATTTCATTACATCAATACAGTCCAAATCCAACCAAGACGTTGTGTTCCACAGAGCATTATTGTATCATCACAAGGTAAATGTAACATGGTAAGCCTTGAGAAGCGTGATTATTTATTTTTATTATTTTTATGACTTCAAGTGCAAAAATGGCTTCCAACAGTCTTGGGTTGGAACTAAGAAAGAAAATTATTGGCAATTACGTAAGTGGAATGTCACAAAAAAGTATTTGTGATAAATATTGTGTTAAAAAATATACCATATCAAGACTATGTTCCAAATATCGTTCTACAGGGAAGTTGACAGCAGATAACAAAGGTGGAAGACCGCGTTCCACCATTTCTAGAGAGGATTCTATGATTGTCAGATCCGTCAAGAAGTATCCTTGGATATCATCAGTCGAGATAAAAAAGCAATTAGAGCTGCCTGTATCGGACCGAACAATTAGATGACGTGCTGTTGAAGCTGGATTGTTTTCTCGACGCCCTGCAAAGAAACCGCTGACTTCACTAAAAAACCAGAAGAAAAGACTCCTGTTTGCTACATCTCATATTGACTGGAATGAGCAGAAATGGCGAACTGTCTTGTTAAGTGATGAATTGAAGTTCAACATCATTGGGAGCGATGACATTTGCCGTGTACGTCGACCGGCCGGAAAACACCTCAATTTACGTTACTGCCATAAGACTGTGAAGTATGGTGGAGGCAATGTAATGGTCTGGGGGTGTTTTTCTGCTAACGGTCTAGGTCTATACATCGAATCGATAGAATAATGGTTGTTTCATGTATAAAAACATCCTGAATGATGTTATGTTACCTCATGTTGAATATGCCAATAAAATGAGTTTTTCAGCAAGACAACGATCTGAAACACACTGCAAAAGTAGTCAAGCAGTGGTTTCAAGACAACTACCTATCGGTGATGGATTGGCCACCTCATTCTCCGGATCTCAACCCTATCAAGAACCTGTGGGAGATCGTCAACCGCAGAATTAATCGTGAAGGTGTTCGTAATAAGGATCAACTGTTTGAACAAATCCAAAAGGCCTGGGCAGCAATTCCACAATGTTTCATTGATCACCTGATCGAATCTATACCTCGAAGATGCAAGGCTGTGATCAACAACAAAAGATTCGCCACGAGATATTGATAGCAAAATACAGTTTGGTCGACATTTTGTGGAGTTGCACTTGTTTTGTCCAGAAGGAAATCAACTTTTTTTAATACTTTTGATTAATTTATTAATTTTCGTGTACAAATAATGAACTTTGTGATGAATAAAACTTGAAGAACGTTGTCTCTAAACAGTTACTTCTCGTTATCTCTAAACGTTGTCTCTAAACAGTTACTTCTAGTTATTTCTCTAAATTGAAAAAATGCAGCACTTTTATATAAAGAAACTAAATTAGCATTATTTGGTTGCACTTGTTTTGTCCGATACTGTAGTTGTTATTGGTGACATGAATGCTCATCACACTAAATGACTTGGCTTTAGTACAACTAATCGACTGATTTGCTCTAAAGCTCAAAATTCTTTTCTTCTCTTACTCATAAAGTTAACTTTTATATTAGTTTTTCATACAGCATTAATCACTGACTTTTATTCCTTGATTTGTGTCTCGTCTATGACCCTAGATTGTACTTAGTTTTTTTATTCTTTATTAGGTGGTTCAGACCATGTTGAGATCTCACTAATGTTTTTGTTCTTTGTATTTCCCTTCATCAGATTCACCTTAGCATTGCACATCTTGCTACCATTTTAAGGCTGATTGGGATTCTTTTTATGTTTTATATTGTGATGGCCCTTTAGCTGATGTTTTTCAGCTCACTGCTAAAAATTGCACCTCTTTTATAATCACCTATATTCAGATAGGCATGGAAGCTTTTGTTGTTGATTGTAACTCAAGCTTTACTCTACTTCATGATTTTTTCCTTCTTATGCGTATCTCATATCTTTCCAACGACTTATTCATTTATTTTACAAAAACAACTTGTAGAGCAGACATCTTTTTAATATTTCAAAAAATCAATGCAATAAGGTACTGTGGTTTGTTTTCACCTCTTGAATCGAACAGCCACACTCTTACTGTCTTCCCAAATATGCAGGTTAATGCACTGTTAAATATCCAATCCATTCCTGCTTCCATTGCTTAAGTTATTTCTCACTTAAAATCTTGATAGGTTATGGTTCAAATAACATTGTTTGGAATTCTCTTTTTTGCATCTCAGATTTTTATTAACTGCCTTTTTTTTGTCTTCCTTGTTATATTCTTACTCTTCACTATAAATTTCTTATTTTTCTTTGGAATAATGTTGTTATATTTAGACTGGTTCTTCTGGAATTCTGTTGTTATGTTTAGACTGGCTCTTCTAATGAGGCCCTCTCCCTTTAAACAACTTCTATAGACACGTTGAAAATGTTGCACCTGTTTTAGCTGCTAAGCTTGAGTATTTAAGTTTAAATTTGCACCTGCTTTAGCTGCTAAGCATCTATCCAATTATTGTCATAAGGTTGCAACTTCTGTCTACAAAAATTACTTTGTTCAAGCAAGCTATCATATTTTATTCCATCAGCCTGATCTCAATCTGACGTGACTCGACATTCAGCTTAGTTCTATCTATTTACTGTAACTGTAACTGTTCCTTCATGTTCATCTAGTTTTTTTTGTTTTTTTGTGTGTACATCAGTGATTTAGACTTTTCTCTTCACATTTTCTGATTCGTACAATTTTTTTAAAATCTTCTGTCGATAACTTTCTTGCTTTTTAGCTTTTTTTTTTTGTTTTCTGTTAACTCCAAACCTAATTAGTGGTTGATTGCAATCTTGCATCTTGTTGCAATTAAGTTTATATAAAAAACAAAATGTTATTTAAATACTTTACAATGCAATTAACTTGATTTATTTAACAAAGTCTTGATTTTGTTTCACCACAAGCATTTTTCAACCTGTTATTTATCTTCTGAAAAACATATATATATATATATATATATATATATATATATATATATATATATATATATATATATATATATATATATATATATATATATATATATATATATATATATATATATATATATATATATATATATATATATGTATATATATATATATATATATATATATATATATATATATATATATATATATATATATATATATATATATATATATATATGTATATATATATATATATATATATATATATATATATATATATATATATATATATATATATATATATATATATATATATATGTTTATATATATATGTTTATATATATATATATAAACATATATATATATATATATATATATAAACATATATATATATATATAAACATATATATATATATATATATATATATATATAAACATATATATATATATATATATATATATATATATATATATATATATATATATATATATATATATAAACATATATATATATATATAAACATATATATATATATATATATATATATATATATATATATATATATATATATATAAACATATATATATATATATATATAAACATATATATATATTTAAATGGCATATGCAGATATACCTACGCATATTTCAGGATGATGCCATCATTTAGGTTTTTTTCAGCTAAATTAGAATACTAAGGTTATTCTACTTAAAATCATTTGTTTTAGAGTAATCGACGGATGGGATGTTTTAGACGACTTAGAGAAACTTCAAGTAAACGAAAAGAATTTTCGGCCTCTAGAAGAAGTGCGTATAAACCAAGTTGAAATACATGCGAATCCTATTGCCGGTTGACTGGAATAATAAATAAAATAAAAAAAAAGAAAAAAGAAGATGACCTTAAAGGACATTAAAACTACTTTTTAAATATAACTTAAAAAGTGAAACAAGAAATCTTACCGTATATAAGTGAACATTAAATCATCATTTAAATAACTATTCCTATTAATTTGTTTTAGATGTGTACTCTGTACTTATTTTAAATTAATTTTAAGAAAAGTAGTAAAAAGTGCCCTCACTAGCGGCGCATTAGTTATTTTTTCAATTGGTATGAGTTCATCTGAAACCAAATAATGTACGATTGGTATAGCAATCGACATAGAGACCTTTGAACAAAAATTTCATACAACTCTAATGTTTTTATTCTTAAATTTCGTTTCTAAATTAATCTTATAATTTTGTGACCGTTAATAAATAAACTCATAAGAGTCATGTTTTTCATAAATTATGCAAAATAATATTTTATTTAATATTCTCAGAGAATATTAAATAAAATTCAAAAATCTAAAATCTTTTTGTTAGCAAATAACACCATTCTTTATTTTTAAATTTCTTCAGACTGAAAGGCTCAATTTCTGATAATCGTTAACTCGAAATAATCGTTAATCGTTAGTGTCGAAAATAGAAAAAGAAACAATATCGCAAAGGAGTTTAAGGAATAGTGTCGAAAATATATATATATATATATATATATATATATATATATATATATATATATATATATATATATATATATATATATATATATTCACATATATTCATAAATTTATTTGCGAAACTATTCTGCTTTTACTCTTCCTTTTTTTTTTTGTATTCAATATTATTTCAAATTTACTATTTGCGACAATTTTTGTTTTTGACACTATTATTTAAATTCATTTGCAACACCATTCTTTTTTTTGTTTTTGATACTAATTATTAAAACCCATTTCCAGTGTTTTAGGATTTGCTTTTTTTCGACAAAGGGTAGGACTTAATCATTTAGCTTTACCCTGCGTTCTTGGTTGATTAAAGGCGAGAGTTTGTGTCTTGATAAAAATACTCATCTTGGGTAAATGATATTGACTATGCAACCCATGGTTCAGAGGCTAGGTAATAGTAAGATTCACTAAACTTTATGATAGCTCTCAGAGAGGCTGATTACATTAACAGCTGTAAAATATAAGAGTATTAACAGTGCCATGTTGCGCATGGATATTGTCCCTGTTAATGCTTTTGGTGCACCAGACTTGTTTGCTCTTTTTAAGACTAATATAAATTCAGCTGTTCTTTCTTCAGATCTCACTATTTGTCACATGCTTGGCTTTGGCGTATACTTGCGCAACAATTCGTCTAGAAATCAGGTTTCTTTTATGTGTTTCCGCCTAGCACCTCTTCACACTTATTTCCTCATTGCACCTCTTCACTCTATCACCTTTCACTTTTTTCTTTATTGTTCTTTATCTTCTCAAAACTTTTTTTTTTCTATATTATTCTTCTTCCCAAGACTGCACTCTTTTAGATGTAATTTCTGATTGAATTGACCATGGTTTTTTCTCTTTACTTGTTATATTCTTGTTATTAGTGACTTTAATGCTCATCACGCTGAATGGCTTGGCTCTAATATCACTGACACTGCTAGTACTAAAACCCATAGCTTCTGTATTTCTCAATCTCTTACTCAGATAGTAATCTTTGTGACTCATTTTCAATAACTTTAAATACTTATATTAATTTTTTAATTTATTAATTTTTAATTTATCTCTGACCATAACTGTTCAGTTTCTCCTTTTTCTCTTTTAGGTGGTTCCGACCATGCAATGGTTTCTATAAATTGTTTATCTTGTACTGCTTCTTCGGACCATAAGTAAGCTATCATCGCACTACTTACTACTACCTTAAAGCTGACTCGGGTTCGTGATTTTCTTTATGACGGTTCTTGGGCTGTTTTTTCTCTCTCCGATGATAAATACGCCTCTTAAGTAACCTCCTGGATCCAGGCAGGCATGGAAACTTTTCTTAAATCTCGTCGGTCTTAAGTTAAGCCTCATCTACTTTATGTTTTTTACCTTCTTTTTCGGCTGCTATATCTAATCGTAATCATTTTTTCAAAGAAAAACTCCTGAGAACAGCCTATTTGTTATTGCAAGAAACCAGTATAAAAAGGTGCTGTCTGATGCTAAGCTCCACTATTCCTAGTTACCAAAAGTAATAATGGGTCTTTAGAGTCTAACTTCTGAGATAAGATACCAATTCTTATATCTTATCTTAGAAGTTAGGATCTATAGACTTTTGGAAAATCTTTAATGGCGTTATTAACAAATGAAAGTCTAACACATTCCAGCTCTAATTCATGGGTCTGATCTTATTACCTCTTCAAAGGTTAAGGCAGAACTTTTGAAAGAACTTTTTTCCTTATTTGACTCCTGAATCTTATGGTCATATTCTTTCTGCTAGATAAACAAGTTAACCTATTATTAAAAATTCAGCCCAGCATCGGCCCAGCTTTTGTTGCTATCTCAAATCGTATTTCAATTAATCTCTTGTTTTAAAATGCGGCTTATGGTAAAAACAACATTCCTGTAATAATCTTACAAAATTGTTATCCAGAACTCTCTTTAATTATCTGTAAACTATTTAATAAGTGCTTGTCTAAATCTTGTTTTTCTGCCTGCTGGAAAATAGCATATGTGGTTCCAATTTTAAATACTCTGGAGTACACTCCGACCCCTGAACTATTGTCCTATCATTCTTTTCTCTATTATTAGCAAGGTATTTGAGTTTTTGATCAACAAATTTTTAACGTCTCACCTTAAGTCAAATAACTTACTGTTCGACAATCAATACGGTTTACGATTTTCTCTTTCTACGGCTGACTTGCTAACTACTAGAAGGTGCATTAGATGGAGGCGGATGGTGCATTAGATGGAGGCGGCAAGACAAGGGCTCTTGCTCGTATCAAATCTAAAGCTTTAGATAATGTTTGGTCTTCTCCATAAGCTTGCTTCATATGGGAAAGTTTTTGATATTATCAACAACAACAATAACAAGATATTTATTTTCCTTTTTCAAAATTTACATATAATCATATAATAACAATAGTAATAATATTATCTATAATAATAGAAACAACATAATTATATTAAAATATAAATAATAAGAATAAATATAAATAGTTATTTGAAAAGGAAGGTGTCACTCAAACAGAAGCCTTATCAGAGGAGTGACACCAAATAATTATAACAATAATTAAAAAAATTAATAATATTATCTATAATGATACAAATAACAAATTATATTAAAATATAAATAATAAGAATAAATATAAATAATTATTTGAAAAGGAAGGTGTCACTCAAACAGAAGCCTGATCAAAGGAGTGACACCAAATAGTTATAACAATAATTAAAAAATAATAATATTATCTATAATGATACAAATAATATTATTTATAATAAAATATAACTAACAAGAATAAATATAAATAATTATTTTAAAAGGAAGGTGTCACTTAAACAGAGCCTGATCAAAGGAATGACACCAAATAATTATAACAATAATAATTAAAAATAATAATATTATCTATAATAATACAAATAGTATGATGACATGAGTGTCATTCATAATCAAAATGAGTGACACAAATTAATTATAACAATTACTATAATAATAAAATAATTATAAAAATAATAAATTTGAACCGAAAATCGTTAAGAAAATAAATAAAATAATAATAATAACAATAAAGCAATACGATAAAAAACGATAACAATAAACAACGATAAGTTAAATAATAAGACAAAAAAATACGAAAACACTCAATAACAACAGCAAACAAAAATAAAAATAATAGTCCTGTTTTTTATCTTTACTGTATTATTGATTAGCGATTGCAATCCGGGATCCCGAAATTCCGGGATCTCGGCCATTTTTATAATCCTAGGATTCCTTACAAGATTGATCAAAGCAAAACGTAATCAAAATATATGTAAAAACAACAACAATTTGTGCATCTCAATAAAATAATTTAAAAATAATATAAAATTGCGGAAAATAATTGTATTTTCTGTTGTACAAAAAAAAAGTTATCGAAAAGGTTTGATTTAGAGAAGAAAAAAAAGCGAGAATCTTCGCAATACATAAAGCTGGGTGAATAAAAATAAGCAATTGCTTTAACTCAGTAATTGGTCAGCTTTACGTAAATAAAAACTTTAGCAGTTTTGCTCAAATTTTTATTCACGTAAATTAAGTAATTTACTCAGTAATTGTTCAGCTTTAATAGCAATTGCTCAATTTTATTTACCCGGCCTATTATGTTGGTTAGTTATTCTGTTTTGTTCTGTAATTCTGCAAAATAAACTTTACTCAAATTAAAAAAAAAGTAATTCTAAAAAGTTAGACTCCTAAAATTAAAAATTAAATAAGCATGACGTATGTGGATTCTACAAGTAAAAGTAACTCAGCTCTTTAAAAATATTTTTTTACGGGATGAGAAAAGCCAGACAGCTGTATTTAAATTGCTAAAGTGCTAAAAGATTTTAAAAATTGGTGGTGGTTCAAGAGAAGGACTTCATATGAACTCGAGGTAGAAAAGAGATTTTTTTTTGTCTTTTGATAAATTATGTAAATTGATTGTAAATGATGTTATTAATAAAAAGAAACTATCTTGATTAAATTGATGACTTAGTCCAAGATTATTCTTCAGCTCTGTCACATGATGAAGTGACGATACCATCAGAGGTTATCACAACTTAAGTTCCCATTAAAGCAATGGTTGAAGCATGCTAAATTGATATGAGTAGATATTCTACAATATTTGCCTGTAAATAATTCTTTAAGTATTTAAGAGTAACTTAATCGTGTTATTGAAGGATAATTACCGATGCAACCAGTTAGACATAAGACATTGTTATCAAAATTTCAAAAAGAAATGATGCTACTTGAAAATGGTGGTATACTTGGTAATTGTTTAGAGGAGCTTATTCATTTCTAATGACCTTAAAACCGACGCTGACCGGTCAATTTCTTCCGCTCGGATTTTCAATACAAAATTTCGTAACCGTTTGGACAATCAAACTTTAGACGCGTAGTGCTTCCTTAAGTCGCATTTCAAAGCACATAACATATTTTCTTAAAAATATTTATCTAAAATAATTTCTTAATATTAATTGACATGTTAAATTACCATTTTTTTCTCTCATGAATCTAACAATAAAATGTAAACTGCCTTTATTTAATAAATATATTTTTGTTTAAAAATGCACTGTTTTTATTTAATATAACACTATGTATATGTTATACTGTTTGTCAATATCGGGATCAATCGCGAAATACCGGGATTAATGTTTTTCAATCGCGAAATCCCAGAATTGAGAAAGACTTCCGGGGTTGCATCCCAAATCATTGATCTTCTTGACAACCTTACATTTAAAGTGGCTCTATATTCCTATGTTAATGAATAGCAACCATCACTGTATTACTTCTATATTAATGAATGGCAATCCTTACTTAGTCCTCTTGCTTACGTCTTCTTTGATTATCGTTCACTACTGACCTCTAATAAAAACCAAATATACAATCGGTTGAAAACTTAGTATCTGCTAAGGTTGCTTCTCTATATTGTGCTCATCATTATCTGACTTCTTTCATTTGTTGAGGTAGAGATATCAATCTCTACCTTAAATTTTTTTTTTTGTACCTGTATGGAATACTGTTGTCATATTTGAAATGGTTCTTAAATGTTATTTCTCTTTTATCCAAAAAGGCATTGCAAACGTAGTTGGACTTGCTAAGCTCTCTCCCGTTGTTGTAAAGCTGCATCTCTTTTCTAGAAATACTATTACAGTTGCTGCTCAAAGGAGCAATCATCTTGGTTCCCATTAACAATTTTGTTTCATCAACCAAAATTCATTCTCCCTTGATTCGTCATTCAGCAGTTATATCTGTTGAATGTATCTTTCCCAACATGCTCTAAAAAATTTTATTTATCTAGTTTTTTTTCCCGCATTTCAACCTTTTGGAACTCTCTTCCATCTTCATGTTCTTCTGACTCATTCAACCTACAATCCGAATTTTTTCCTTATTTGACATAGGTATAATCTTAAGTTTGGAATTTGCACGAACTTAATTAAATCAAACTTGTAAAAGTGTCCTATCTGAAACATCAAAAAATTCCGCGGGCGCTCATTATATATTTATAAGCTACAATGAATCACAAAAATAAACAAGTTTTAGTCTGGTTTAAAAGTTACCTAATTATTGAAAATTAAATTGTCATTGGTAATGACGGTTATCAAAACAATTCTCTTAATATGTGCAGAGTATGAAAAGTAATAATATGAATTGTCACGTGTGGAGCTCCACAAGGTTATTGAGGCACACAAAGAAGAATATTTAACTAAGAAGTTCAGGCCTCCCTCCTTACTAATATTGCTTATCTGGCCAAAAACTCATCGAACCTCAAACCTTTTGGTTCTTATTTTTACTTTGTATTATTGGTATTTTTGGTTAAGTGGTCTTTAAATTAATTTAACTGGTCATTTGTTTTTAAAAAAATTTCGTAATATAACTATTAGAAAAAAGGCGTAATATAAATTTGTAATTAATTTCCTACCTATAGGCCAAAGTCGTAAAGTACGATTTCGCTCCAATTCAATCAAGGCCATCGGAAGGTTGTAACCACTCATCTCAAAATAATAACTGGATCGTCATTCGGGAAAATTTTTGTAGCCAGGTTTGGCCTACCAAGATGGTGGCGTGGTTATATGAAAAATCAAAAAACCTTAAATGTAATCGATAAAGATATAATTTTAAACATAAATATTGCAAATTGCAAATATTGAGAACCTATTTTTTGGTGTCTCTAGTTGGCAAAAAAATACTTACGCCCCCCATGGAAGACCTCTTCGGAACGGCCCTGAAACTATATAGACACATAAATATACTAACGATAAATATACACACATAAATATACTAAATATAGTACAATTATGTAAATATATACATAAATATACTAGATTATATATATATATATATATATATATATATATATATATATATATATATATATATGTGTGTGTGTATATATATATATATATATATATATATATATATATATATATATATATATATATATATATATATATATATATTTATACATATACGTATGTATGTATATTATATATATGCATATATAACTCCTGATAACATGTAACCTTAAGTGTCCGAGCAAATACTGGAAGTTCAATTTTTTAAAGGTTTGAGTTATGAGGAGTTTACTGTATATATATATGGTATAATAAAAATAAATATTTTTATTGGTTTTTGAATAAGAAAGGTTCAGTCAACTGCTTCCTAAACTTTTTTTTAGTCAATTTGTTAGTTACTTTTTTTTAGTCAATTTGTTAGTTACTTTTTTTTAGTCAACTTGTTAGTTACACTTTCATTGTGTAGGAAATGAAAGTGTATTTTTGAGTAATTTTCTGAAACAACTTTAATCAGTGAAAATAAATGATAATCAGTTAAAGCCGAATCAAACATGATGGGTTAGTTCAGTGAATACTTTTGATAAATCAACTGATCTCAAAACAGCACTTGCAAGTGCATTTTTCATTCCTATATCATTAGGCAGATTTCTATCTGTTGATGCAAGAAACCTTTGGAAACATCTTTCAGTTTCTTTGCATACCAAAACAGCAATTTTGTTTGGTTTAACCAAACCTCCTCTATAGTTTTTCTTTTAAATAAAATGTAATAAATTTCACCAATCCTTACATACTATGTAATACATAGTATGTAAGGATGTAGCATATGTATGTTACATCTATACATGCTACGTAAAAGTGTATTTTTAAATAATGTATTTTTTATTAGATTATTTAGTCAATATTACAATAAATTACTTTGACACATATTACAGCCACTGATCTTCAAACAATAACATTTTGAGGTGTGTATTACAGTACTATTATTTACTCAAGTGTTTATATTATATTATCACTATGCAGCATCTTTTGATACAAAATAGTACTGGATCAAAAAATAGTGATTACAATTCAAACTAAAAGTTTTCATTTCACAGGTGGGTGAAATTTATTTTTTTATAATTTTATTGAAAAAATTTTTTTAACAGTTTATCTTTTAGCATTTAAACTGTCAATAATTATCCTTCAAATTTTAAGGAATAATTATTTACAGTTGAGTTTGACGATGACTTTGAATCTAAGTGATTGAGAGACTATTTTTTACTTTGGAATATAACTATAGTTTTATATTTTCACTAATTAATGAGTATAGAAAGTTAATGTGTTAAATGACTTTATAATCCTAGAAGAAACCTCTGAGTTGTGTGTACTCACAGTCCTCAGCTAATAGTTCATACAACGATTCACACTACTAACAGTTCTAAACGGCGCTATCTTGGTTGGCCAAAATTCGCTTCAACTTTTTTTAAGAAAAACAATAGAATATTTATATATACGCCAGCTATTATTTTGAGATCAGTGGGTTGTAACGCACAACGAACAAAAAATATGTATTTTTAATAACAGTAATAATTATAAAATTAAACGAGTAATTATAAGAAAAAGATATTTTATATATATTTTTTTAATATTTTTTTCAGAAAGAAAAAAAGATACAAATAAATATTTAAAAGCCAAAAATCTTTAAAAAAAATGTTTTTTTTTATAATTTTCTTTTTTTTGAAGGAGGTTTATGAGTTTCGGTCGACAATTCACTGGTTATATCAGATATTTTGTTCGAAGAAACACTGGGTGCATCGCATACTCTGTTCGACGAGCTACTGTTTGTATCAGATACCTTTAACCAATTATGCATCAACAAGCAGCTCCTGGATTTGCGAGCTCCGTCGCTAATAGAAAAAAATAGTATAAATAATAAAATAATAAATAAACGCATAAAATCATTTACATTTATATTATACACGAAATAAAATCATTTATTTATAATCAATTATACAGGCAATAAAATCATTTACATTTTGTACAACTGCAAAATCAGATACTGCTGATTTTGACCGTGTAAATCTGCACATTGATTTTCTCTTATTCTTTTGAAAATAATTCAAAATTTAAAAATATTTTTAGCCCTCTCTTAATAAAGTTCCATATAACGTCCCTATTAAAATCATGACAAAAATAGATTTTGTATAAGCCGTATATAATTTAAGAGCGCAATATTTTTTATTTTAAAAAGATTTTTATAAAATTATTCATGCTTCAGTAATTAAATGAAAAAAGTTTACGATTTTTTACGGATTGTTTTTAAAGTCTCATGTTACTTAAGTACTTAAAAATGCTATTTCAATAAAGCTCATAATATTTTTTAAACCATTATATAGTATTTATATAGTTTGGACCTTGCTCTTATAACCTAAGGTTGAAATATTAATAAAAACTGTTTTATTGACAGTCAAATTGCTAGTCAAGTTAATAAGGATTCTTCTTGTCGGAGACAGATTTTTGTTGTTTGGTTCAGGTAACCGTCAGAAATACGGTAATTAAAAAATGAAAATGTGTATGCCATATATTGAAAGTCTTGAAATGGGGCTTAACGAAGTCCTATATTGTGATAAGCCATTAGCGAGAGTTGAGTCTGAAAGTTGCATTAAATTCCAGAAAAAGGTACCGCAATACCTGCAGTATTACATTTTTATGCATAAGTTATTAAATTTCCCAACTTCACAATTACCAGTTCCTAAATTAATGAAGTACTATGATTTATTTTTATCAAAACCTTTCATAAAGATTTTTTCATAGAAAAGTTCCTTCATGCCCTAACTTTTTCCAGATTTTTTCCTTTTCGTTGATCTCCATATTTCCGCTAGACTTGGAGTTTCAATTTCAATACCACGCTTAGCTGATTTATGTGTGTTTAACGACTATGAAAAGACAACTTTGTATCGTTTTATTCTCTTAATTTTTTTATTTCAATTATATATTTGTGTACTAACGTTTAAATATAAACTTATATTTATGTATATAATTAATATATCTATATAGGTATATCTTTGAAATATTTAATTGATAAACAAGTAATGACTGATTTTATTTTTTATGTAGAGCTAATTTTACCAAATAAGTTTACCCAAAAAATTAATTTATCAAGAAACTATGCAATAAAATATTATCGATTGTTTTTAATTTAATTTCCAATAAAGAAAAAAATATTTACTTTAGTTTAACTAGCAATGGTCTTATTTACTATAATAAATTTCCAAAACCATTCTGAATATTATTTATTTTCATTAAAAAAAGAATCAAAATATGTTAAAATCATAAAATTGTATATCTTTTTAACTTCTAACTTTGTCCAGAAATAATGTAGTTTGAAAAAACTTCTACGAAATAAGTTTTCTTTTAGAAAATACTTTAATTCTTATCCTCAGGGTTTAAATTTTTTAAAAGCTCTTTTTTACAATTTTTTTTATAGAATTTAAATTACTTTTAAAAATATATTCTTTGCTAAATTTAAAATATCTTCTCTGTCCTGCGTAAAAACTGGTCAAACTACTGGATAACAGTGACAGATCCAGAAATTTTTAGTAAATTTAGGCAGGGAAAAGAGTTAGGAAGGTAAAGAGTTTAGACTTTATCTGTAAAAAATTGTAAAAAATTTGAAACCTAAACAATTTAAAAATATATAGAGACAACCGATAGAGACAACCTAGATAGTGTTTCATTCTTGCATAAACAAGAATGATGTCACATAACCATTCTAGTTTAAACTCAGAGTTATCATTTGCTTATATGTTAATTGAAAAAAAAAAAACCCTGTTATATCCCTATATATCCCTAGTATATTTAGGAAAAACAGAAACAATTTCTTAAATCATATTTAATACGTTAATTAAATTTATTTATTAATAAAGAAACTAAAAAAGAAAATACTTTTCATCAATTCTCTTCAAACAATTAGAACTATCATGTCGTACATTATTGACAAATGTTGAAACAGGATACCATTGTAAACAATCTAATGGTAGCAACAGCTTTAATGCCTAAAAATATTACCAGTATCTAAATATTTTAAAAACATCAGTATCTAAATATCTTAAAAATATTACCAGTATCTAAATATCTTAAAAACATTATCAGTATCTAAATATCTTAAAAACATTATCAGTATCTAAATATTTTAAAAATATTATCAGAAAGTAATTTAAAGTAAATTAAAGAAAATAATTTAAAATTTTACATTTTCCCAAGTAACAGATGTTGTGTCCAGCCACTTGTCAACTGCATCTGGACTATTTAATATTGCCTTTAAAAAATATTTATTCACATTTCAATACAATATTTTATATTATAGACTTTGCTTGTTTTAAATAGTTTGAACTAAAGCAAACAGCATTTAGACAACTGAGGAGTGAACCTGCAAAACCAGACAAGTCCACTCTGAAAAAATTATGGGAAAATAAGAAAAAAAAAGCCTTTTTTACTGATTCTGCAGAAATTAACGATTTTATCACACTTTATCTCAAGGACCTGTCTGATTATTCTCGTCTGACATATTCGAATACGCGTTGAACATGCCCACAATGTTTGGGGCACTAAATGCACGTAAAATGTTAGGAGGGGACTTGTCTGGTTTTGCAGGTTCACCCCTCAACTAATATTTATATATAGTTTAATAGTGATTCATTTCAAATACATTGTGATTTTGGTAAAAAAATTTAAATTATCAAAACATATTAACCTTAAAAAAACATAAATTTTTTAAAAACAAATTAATCTGACTTAAACACATGAAAACCATCAGATTTATAACTTAAAGATACATGATATCACGTGACATACAGGCATGCGATCATGCAACACTTTAAATGTGTCAGATGCATCAACAGTAATAATGGTGTAGGTGTAGATTTCACCTTCCTAAAAAAAAAATTACATAAGATTTTTTAAATAATAGATCAGCTGAAATAATAATAAAACGCATAAATAATGATAAAATATAATACACATATTTATATATATACATACATATATATACTTCAAGTTCTTACTTCTGAAGAGTGTTTGTCAAACAAACCAGCCATAGTTAACAGCTGCTTTTCTTCTGTATCTGGCTGTGGTTTAATATCATCTTTGAGGTGAATATAATATGGGTGCTTTTTAGTCCCTATAGTCTGCCATTCATAAAATCTGAATAAATAAAACAACTAATTTATTTTACTCATTTCAGAAAAAATAAAACAAAATATTGATTCTATTAACGAATAAATAGAATAAATAATATTTAAAAAAATAATATTGCAGTGGTGGATTTTCAGCATTGTTTAAAAATACACAACTGTTTACAATGAGTATACTTGAATAAAATACTCTAGTACACCTCATTAAAGATGCTCAACTGCATCTAATTGATATTCTTATGCTAAAGCATCCAATACTGCTTTAAGATGTTTTGACTTTTAAATGTTTGTATGAATAGACATTAACATTAAAATAAACACAAACTTCTGAATTAACAAAAATTATTATTTAAAAATATTAATTGTGTATTGGTATTACATTGATGTCTGTTATATTCCATGTATGGTGGAGGTCAAATCATGCATGGTGGAGGTCAAATAAAATTTATTCAAATATAAAAACAAATTAATTCTAGATTCTGATACAAATTCAAATGCAAATGTATACAATCTGGATTTTCAAAATAGAAATACAATATTCTATGTTCAGAAAAATACACTTAATTTTTTTAAAATAATTAAATAACTTTATAAATACAAATCTTTTTTTTTCAAAACATAAAATAAACATAAATGTATTTAAATATTGTGTCTTAATATATTTAAATATTTTGAAACTTTTAAATATTAAAATTTGTTGCACCTAACAAAAATAAATTTTTCAAAGCAACTTTTGTTGCAGCAACTAAAATTGCAATAAAAACAAAAACAAAAAAGCACTTATTCCTTCTTTTGCTTTTTTTAGCTTTTTTTGACATAAATTTTAGAATAGTTTATTTTTATTCTAGTATAGTTTTAGTATATAATCATTATAAGCACAAATACATGCATAATCATTAATTTTAATTTATATTTTTAATTAAAATATAAATTTGGTATAACTTAGTTATATTTAGGTATACAGTATGGTGATGTTTAATTGTCATGTTGTACTTCCTAACTGTTACCCTCATTATATACAGGAACAATACTTGTCCTATAAGAAAAATACCATTTTAATTTAATGTAAATATGTTTTTTAATATATAAATTTTTTAATAATAAATAATGTATATAGTACCATGCCAAATTAATATTAGACTTCAAATACTTAAAGAAATAAAAAAACATAATATATATAGTGTAGTAAGTTAGTCTTACATTTTTTGTTTTTTGTCAATATATATATATACACACATATACATATATATATATATATATATATATATATATATATATATATATATATATATATATATATATATATATATATATATATATATATATATATATAATCCTTGGAATTAGGAAAAATGAGGTTGGCAGTTTATTGCCGACCTAAAACTGTTGGTGGTCGGCAAAAAATATATAAAACTTATTATCTAATAAGTTTTATACAAGACTGCTCCAACAATGTAAACTTTTCCACAAATTACCTATAAATATACAAAATTATTATTTTTTTTTTTTGTAAATTTCAGTGTTATTTGTTTTATTTAAATCTGAAATTAAAATATGATTAAAAATATTGCATTTAAAGTTGAATGAGCTTGAAAAGTTTAAATGATAAATTTTTTGAAACTTTTGAAAGCAAAAAAAAGCCACTGCTTTTTTTTTACCAAAAAAACGCAGTGCTTTTGAACCAAATAAAAAAGAGTCATCTCGAGCAGCAACCAGTATTGTATAAATAAAACTTATACAATACTTTCAAATTTTGTAATGTAATGATATTTTATTTATGAAATATCTAAAAATCTTTTATAACCTAATTTTTATTCATTATATTAAATAAGCATTTGTTATTGATTTTAAACAAAAATTTGAAGAAAAAAGTTTCTTTCTCCAAAACATTTGCAACCAACATCGAACAATGCTAAAAAGTGTTCATAATTTTACATGTCTTGAAAACGAAACGAACTATACTACCACAGCAAACAGTTCAGGAGTCTGGAGTAATAGCATGCCATGACATGAGCAATCAACTGACAGGTGAATCCACACAGGCAGAATTTTGTTGACAAGTGCCATTGTGCAGCGGACAAAATAAGTGCAACTTTTTTGGTTTGTTTCTTTTTCTTAAGTCTGGTCCGTGTCAACGTCACAGAGGTTTTTTAATAATTAAAGGAAGTATCCAGAAGTTTCCAGAAACATGCAGAAGCTTCCAGAAGTTTCCAGAAGAGGCTTCCGGAAGCATTCAGAAGCATCCAGAAGTATCCAGAAACATTCAGAAGCATCCAGACGCATCTAGAAGCTTCCAGAAACATCAAAAAGAAGCATCTAGAATCTTCCAGAATAGATTCACACAGGTTCATTTTACAATATAAGAGACATGTAAACCGACATGTAATTCAGTAAGTATTATCAAGACAGTTTATCGAAGTGAGTTTTATCAAAGTGTTTTATCGAAGAATATCAATACAAGAAGTGAAATACAACAAGTGTTTCATCACATCAATAGAGTTCACATCCAATCAAGACGCTGTGTTCCACAGAGCATTATTGTATCAACACAAGGTAAATGTAACACAGTAAGCCTTGAGAAACGTGATTATTTATTTTTATTATTTTTATGACTTCAAGTGCTCCCGACAGTCTTGGATTGGAACTAAGAAAGATAATTATTGGTGATTAAGTAAGTGGAATGTCACAAAAAAGTATTTGTGATAAATATCGTGTTAAAAAACGGACCATATCAAGACTATGTTCCAAATATCGTTCTACGGGGAAGTTGGCAGCAGATAACAAAGGTGGAAGACCGCATTCCAGAAAAGATTCTATGATTGTCAGATCCATCAAGAATGATCCCTGGATACCATCAGTCGAGATACATAAGCAATTAGAGCTGCCTGTATTGGACTGAACAATCAAACGACCTGCTGTTGAAGCTGGATTGTTTTCTCAACGCCCTCCAAAGAAACCAATGATTTCAGTAAAGAACCAGAAGAAAAGACTCCTGTTTGCAACTTCTCATATTGACTGGAATGTGCAGAAATGGCGAACTGTCCTGTTCAGTGATGAGTCGAAGTTCAACATCATTGGGAGCGATGGCATTTGCTGTGTACATTGACCGGCCAAAAAACGCCTCGATTTACGTTACTGCCATAAGACCGTGAAGCATGGTGGAGACAATGTAATGGTCTAATAAGGATCAACTGTTTGAACAAATCCAAAAGGCCTGGGCAACGATTCACCAAAGTTGCATTGATCACCTAATCGAATCTATGCCTCAAAGATGCAAGGCTGTGATTGACAACAAAGGATTCGCCACGAAATATTGATAGCGAAATACAGCTTGGTCATCATTTTGTGAAGTTGCACTTAATTTGTCCAGAAGAAAATCAACTTTTTTTAATACCTTTGATTAATTCATTAATTTTCGTAAACAAATACTTAATAACTTTGTGATGAATAAAACTTAAAGAACATTGTCTCTAAACAGTTACATAGTTATTTCTCTAAATTGAAAAAATGCAGCACTTTTATATAAAGAAACTAAATTAGCATTATTTGGCTGCATTTGTTTTGTCCAATACTATATATATATATATATATATATATATAGCCCCCGGAATTAGGGTTGGCATTCGGCAATGCTGATCAAACTGCCAAACTGACAGTGTTGGTAAAAAATTACTGATCTCAGAATTCTAAAACTTTATTTGTTATTTCAAATAGAATTAAAATGGTAAAGAGAAATGTATTATTTTGATTTTAAATAAAATAATTTTAAAAAACCTGGCAAAACAAATGTTTCACTTAAAATCTAAATAAATTAGTTGAAATAAAAAAAAACAGAAAAAGATGTTTTATTTAAATATTAAATAAAATATTTAAAAATGAAACAGCAAAACAAACTTTTCATTTAGATTCTGAAAAAGTTAATTTAATAACATAACAGAAATACGAATGTTGAATTCAATTCTAAAAATAAAATAAAATAAAAACCAAAATTTTAGTTAAATTTTCACTTAAACAATACAAGAAAAAAAAGTAAAAGCCCTGGAAAATACGTTTTATTCTAATTCCTAATAAAACAACCAAAATAAAAACGGCAAAACGAACATTTACAAACTATTTTAACAAAATAATAAAAATAAAATAATAAAAATAAAAACAGAAAGGTCTGTTTCAAAATTATTTGCTGACCTAAAACTGTTTTAGGTCTAGGTCATCAATCTTTTGGCGAACTTTTTTTCCTAATTCCGAGGGCTGATATATATATATATATATATATATATATATATATATATATATATATATATATATATATATATATATATATATAATATATATATATATATATATATATATATATACATATATATATATATATATATATATATATATATATATATATATATATATATATATATATATATATATATATATATATATATATATATATATATATATATATATATATATATATATATATATATATATATATATATATATATATATATATATATATATATATATATGGGTCATTCCATGCCAAGTGAACCTGGGTCAAACATGGACCCTTAGATTTTGATGAAACTTAGTGGGTTGGTTTATATCAATGAGAAAAGCAATTCCTGAAAATTTCAGCTTTAAATCTTATGTGGTTCATGAGATATGGCCATTTGAAATTTCTGATTTTTCCAAAAATAAAAACTTCAGTAGCAAAAACATGTTTTGTTCATACTTTGAAGCTCTGTATTTTAAAAACTAAATTTCAAAAAACCTTCTAGTTTTTTTTATCATATACAATGCTAGGCTTACTTTGTTAAAACTTTGACATTAAATTTTTAAATGTCACTTTATTCATAATGACTGCCTAAAAAACCGAAAAAATTGTTTGCAGATATAGAAAGTTGATTTTTGATGGGTCAATATACAAAACTAGCAATTTAAGAAGTAAAAATACATATCTTTTTAGTTTCTATATATGGTAGGCTTCCTAATTTTCAGAAATTTGCTGATATGATA